TTTGCGAAAATTGTTTATCGAAAACGGAACGAATCGAAAAAGCAAAGTTAAAAACATATTGAAAAATTCGATATATCTACACATTTGAAATCTAAATTAAAGTTAAGTAAAACGCGATCAATCAAAATTTCTACGTTAAACTTTTNGTACGTGTACTTTATTGTCTTTCACGAGATGGATTTTATCAATAATACTTAATAATCACGTATACCCGTATAATCAAAACTAAAAATCGCGATAATAGTAACGCTAAGTCGTTAATATTAAATAAATATGTTATTCTTTTCCGATAGAATGTCTCTAAAATTTCTAACTTTATTGTAAAATTCTCGCGAAAAATGTACTNTTTAATCAATATTAATGGACAACAAAAATTGAGGAAAATTGCAGAAGGTTTAAATTAAAAAATTCGCGAAATCTAAATCCGCGTACACGACCGCGATCGCGTGATTTCCTCGCACTTGCGAGGTCCAGGGCGTCAATTTCGACGCAAGGCGAACTAAACGTTCGCAATTTGTTGAAAATGAGAAGTCGTCGAGAAAAAACCGATACACAATAATCATTATATGAAGCAATCTGAATTGATTTAAAAAAAGTAATCAATATATTTCTTTGATAATGATAATAAAATTTATCTCGAAAGTATCTTTATTATTCTGAATCTTTATTATACTTTAATTTCTAGTAAATTTCGAGNAAATTTGATTTAAATCTATAATTACAGCCCGAAAACTATATTTTTATCTTTAAAATAATTATTTTTTCTCGACGCTTCAAGATAACAATAAACAAGTAAAGACTATGTCGCACTGATTTTAAAAAACCTATCACCTACCCTAAAAGTATACTCACGTGCGCTGGCCACTTACTGCGAGGACACCATTCTGTAACAAAATAGAAGTCTATCATTAGATTAAGAACTTCAAAGAAANTTTGATGTACTTTAATACTTTTACTATATATGTAAGATATATAATATTAAAAACAGAAATATATACCTTCGTGCCAGCATTTTATTGCCCGAACCGGCTCCTCCGGTACTGCAAACATCGCTATCAGGAACACCGCCATCAGGAACACTGCCATCAGGAACACCGCCATCAGCGTTAGCAAAAGTCCAAAAGGAATATTGTCCAGATTGTATCTTTTTTAGCACTTGATCACTTTCACACGCGCACACACGCGCGATTAAGTGAATTTCTTTCATATTTTCTTTAAAAGTTGCTTTTGGTAATATTAGACGTTAATTCACGATGAAAAATTTCACGTATATCAAACTATTACCTTGCTGTTTCGAGATTTGTTTTTTTGTAAAATAAAGTATTTTAAATATATAAAGCNATGTATTACGATTACACGTAACTCACATTTTTTTGTTATATGTATGTTATAGCATGATATGTGCAAATATATTTTTTATTCGAATTTTACAGAGAATTTTACAACACAACCACTCTTTAAAATCGAGTCAACACAAGAACTACTAAATATAAAAAAATCTATAAAGTTTATTCACCTCCGAATTCTTCTCAATGACAGTTAAGATGACAATGGTACCGCTTGCACCCAAACTGTCAGAGAGAAGAATTCGAAAATGGATAAGAAGTTATAGATTTACCGCGGTTCTCTTANTAAAGAGTATTAACGAAACTCTAATGTGTAAAATATTAATTACCGTATTGTAAAATTCTTCTGAAGATTGAAATAAAAAATATAATTTCCTATATATGTTATATACAATATGTAACAAAAGAATGAATGTCGTTACGTGAATCGATATATCTCTTTATGTATTAAAATAATTATTTTACAAAATAAATAAATGACGAAGCGGAAGACTAATAATTTATATNCGCGAAATATTTAATCGCGATACACGCGGTAAATTTACAATAACAAAATTATATAATTAATTCGCGAAGAAATTCACTTATGTACGAAATTGCGTACGAACTTGTTATAATGAAAAAGAAAAAATTTCGCGCACAACCCGACAACACGTTCGTTACTCTTGAGAGATCGACNAGATCTGAGGCTACGCGCTGCGCTGTGAGTAGAGTTTTCCATTGCGCGCACGCATCCCCTACTATGCGCTTTCGAAATTTTCTTCGCTGATCCACAGTTCGGTAGTAAGGGTTGAGCGGTTTCACGAGCGTCAAAACAACAAAAACACTCGCCGGTTGCAAAAACACTTCAGTCGTTGAACATAACACGTTTATTTTTCACATACTTTCGTATTAAAATTTAACATTTATTACATTTCTTAATTCTCTCTTTAAAGGAAGAGAACATTTATTACAATTTTTAATTCTCTTTAAAGAGAACATTTATTACATTTCTTAATTCTCTTCCTTTTTTAAAGAATTCATTTTAAATAAGTCATAAGAATTCATTTTAGTAATAAGAATTCATTTTAAATAAGTCATTTTAAATTTAAAAAGAAATCAAATTCACGCTCTCGAATATACTCGCACACTTAAAGAAAGTGACCATTTAAACTCGTGCACATAGCACAGAATAGAACCGCACGCTGTGGACATAGTGCACCGACGTGTCGCTCGTGGACTGGCTGCGTAGTTCCAATGTGTACCACCCGTGGACATGCGCTAGTTTACGGGACAGAAACGTGATTACACATTCTCTTATGGACCTGGCCGCTCTCAGACTTCTCTCTGCTTCAAGGCAGAAACTGTTTTTCCGATTGAGAAGCTGCGATTGATTGATAGGAATGATAGGCATGAGTGGACACGAGTAGGGTTAGTAGTGAAGTGTTTACACGTTTAGTTTTTAAAATATAAAGAATGATTCAATATGTATTAGTATATCTCTATCAATCGTCGCAGGATTTATTAGTGTCAAAGTTATGATAATTACTTTTATTAACAGTGCGTGTATATTATTACGATATGTACGATAGGCGCGATAGTTGTGTTTTATAGGTTATGTTCTTTTATATTTTCTTCGTGAAAATTTTTTACAAAGAGTGATTTTATTTGACAGTTTGACAAAATATGGTGGAAAACGTGATACAACGTGGTTCTACAGAAAACAGCAATGAAACGGAAAAAGAAGATCCCGGTAAAGATGTGGATGGTAAGTTTTAGAAAAGATTAGATTTAATATATCTCACTAATACGATGTGATTATGTCATTATATAATTAATATTGTGTGTGATATACTATCATGACATTTCTTTTCTATGTATTTATAAAATATCTCCACATATACACTCATCATTTTGCAGTAAGTTATAAAAAAAGATGCATAGGAATATATAAGGGAAACTAAAAAGTAGGATATAAAGAACTTAATAATATATTGCACTTTTGTTTTTTCAATTTTGTATTAATACACAAAAATTATCACATGTCAGACAAATGATACAAGAGATGATAATCACAAAAAAGTCAAAAAATATGATGATTAAGAGATTAAGGCAATTATCTATTTTGCAGAACTTTCTCAGTAATTTAAACAAAACCAGTTGTTTCAATTGATAATACATATTTTTTATATTGAACTAAAAAAAATTGAAATAAAATTTATAGATTCATTCTAAAACGATACACTTGATATGACATATCCAACGGTTTGTTTTTAGAAAATAAGTTCTTTTACAGTTTTGAAAAGTAGCTAGTCGAACTTAACTTACTTTTTTATACAGTAAAAAACTTGGTAAACTTTACTTCTAGTATAAAGCGCAATCTCTTATTTATTTTTTTTTGTTTAAAACATTTTTATTGTTACTAATATCAAAAGTGACTTAGTATGACATAGTATGTTTCTGTTAAAAAATTAATTAATTTCTGTTAAAAGTGTGTCGTTTGAGAGTTAATATTATTACTGTTGTAATGAATATATATATCTCCCACAAAGTATATTATATAGTATATACCGGCAAATCGCATCAAGAGCTGTAAGAGTTAAAATAAATATTTGCCATGTATATACATATCCATCTAGTTTTTGAATACATGAGAATATTTATGTATATGAATATATATATATATATATAATGTATGTATTGGAGTTTTTAATTGACTTAACATGTCAATATTGTCAACAGATCTCAGTCGATAAAGCAAATGTATGAGTATTAGTACTCATTAGAATTAACTTTCTTTAGTATTATACGTAACATAACATGAAATAGTTTAAAGTAAATATCATATTTTATGTATGAGTGTTGGTACTCATTAAAAGTAACTTTCTTTAGTACTGTACATGTGACATGAAATAGTTAAGAAAAATAAATAAATATTATAAATATCATACAATATCATATTGTGTGCAAAATTATTCTAATTATTATATAATTCGTTATCGTATTGTCAAAAATTGTGCCTCCCGTTTACGCACGATAACATTATTAATATATTAAGGCACTGTTTATAATCCAGTCTTTTAATGTCCTTCGTTTTGTACAAATTAAACTTTGCAATTACGCGAGTTTGTTTCTTTAGACATCTTTGGAATTGATCAAAGAAGAAGAACAGTATAAAATGATGTAGTGAAAAATGTAATGATTGTGAATGTGCAAAAAATATTTTTGTTGTTGTTCTTGGATAAAGCATATAAATATAAGTCGAATAATGTAAGATTATAGTACAAACGCTAAATGGCCCATTCGGGAAACTTTGACAAGTCGAATACATATGTGCCCCACGTAGGGAATGCAACCGCAGTGATGACGAGTGTGATAATGCTAGGCCCGATACCGGCGATGATGAAATCTTTCGTTTTTATGCGTCCGGCGGCGCTTGCAATCGCATTGGGTGGAGTACCGACGGGCAAGTGAAACGAAAATGAGCAGCAAAGAGCCGCTGGTAGCATTAAATACAAAGGATGTATTTTAATAGCTACACACTGAAAAGAAAAGAAGAAAGTAAATACATTTGCAGAAAATTGTATATCCTGTGAAATAATTGGATTATTTGTAACATTTTGCGTTGTAACATACTTCATGTATAAATTAATGATAAAGTGTTTATTTGAGTCTTGCACTTACCATTTCTGCTAATACTGGCAATATGATATTTGCGACAGCCACGTTGGATGTTAATTCTGTCACATTTTCGGCGAAGAAGCAAACAATGAGCAATATCGCCACAACGTTGATCTTCTGCAAACCTATCAGTGACTGACCGAGCATCCCCGACAGTCCTGATTCAGTACTACCTGCCGAAATGGCAAATCCACCGCCCAATACGAATATTAGACTCCAATGCATCTTCTGATTTATTATTTTCCACGTTATCAGCCCGGGCGACGGTTTCGTAGGCCGCTTGCTTGGATCTTTGTTGAATGCCTGCAAGAAGTCCAACTTCGACGGGATGAAGAAGAACAGTATTGTCACGCACATGGCTGCCGTGGAGTCCTTGACACGTCTACGAATTTCGAAATCACACGGTTATCTCTTGCGTTTTAAGCACGTTTGCATAGTGAACTCACAAGTTGGTGACATAAGCGGCCCAACCCGGCATAAATCCAGGATTCCTGAAGAACCACAGGAGCACGACGATAATGAATAAAATACCCACGGAAGATTCATGCCACGAGATTGGCCCGAGTTCCTTGTATCTCTTCTGAATGACCGACGCTGCAACTTGCTCGCCCTGCTGTCCGATGTCTATTGCGCGAGCGTCTTTGCTTTCCGGTCTGAAGAGACCCATATACATCACCTGCAGCCACAACCATGTCAGAATACCCATCAGCAACATGGGCGGTACCGAATACAACATCCAAGAAGCAAAATTTATTCCGGGGCTAAGGGGAAAGCGTCTGAAAAATAAATATAAAGTTTTTAAATCTATCGCGGACTCAGATTGTATTTCAAAATTCAGTGCCAATTACTGAAAATTTATAACACGCGTTACATATAAATAGATTCTCATTAGTTGACAGTAACTTTTGAAAAACATCCATAACATTATCTTGTATTTTCAAGATAAGTTTTGTGAAATTTGCGTGTAAGCACGTACTTCTCTAGAAAACCTTTGAACGTTAAATTGGTACCGCTTCCGACAATAGTACCAATACCGCCAAGACTGGATGCATAAGCTGCTACGAGATAATATACCATTGTACTGTGCGTTGGCCTTTTGTTTCTGCAAATTGAGTAATTTTACTTATTTAAGTACTGTCTGACAATAGAGAAAATATATCAAATCTATGTTAGATAATAAATTTAAATATAGTTAGAGTAAATTAATTTATTCTCCGAAATAGAGAATTAAAACACATTGTTTCATTATTTGATTACCTGGAAAATAGAAGATAGAAGAGAAGATGTGAAATATATACTTACGCTTCTCCGCTATTCTCTTCGATTGTTCCTTCCGTTTGGACGAACATGTTTCCGAGTCCTTGCTGAAATTAAATTAATTTCGCGTTAATTGCTTTTCTTCACGTCTCTCACGAGATTATACGAAATTTTTCGAAAAAGAATTGAAAAAAACTCACCGCTTCGAGTTCCACAAGAACAGTTTCCATTATGGGTATCATCATTGCAGTGGCGGCGGTGTTCGAAATCCACATTGAGATAAACATCGTTACAAAGAACAAGCCCAATGTTAACCTAAGGAGCAACAATAAATATTTTCATCATTTTGAAACTTGCGACTGAGATTGAATAACGCGAGCGAAAACCACCTTCGATGACTGCAACCGATGGTTTTGATAATGAACAGCGCCACTCGCATATGCAGACCAGAATTCTCGATGACCACCGCGATCACTAAACTGCCAACGAACATCATTGTAGTGTCGTTCATGTAACACAGACATGTTTCGTTAGTTGACATGATGCCCAACAGCGGATACAGCACCACCGGAATCATACCCGTGACGGGTAATGGTACGACTTCAGTCACCCAGTACATCGCCATTAACGCGACGACGTATAAACACTTCATTGCTTGGGGCTACGATCACAAAAGGAGAAGAATCTTTGAATGAACTGAAATTGTATATTATAACAAATTATATCATAAAACACATAGTATGGTATTTAATCATTATTAAGAGACATACTTTATCACTTTCGACTGTCAGTATCGGTATCAAGACTAATGGCCACACTATCACGATGAAAGATCGCCAATAAATGGCTATGAATTTTAACAACAATTTGCCGAATCCAGTGGTTTTCCTGAAATTTTCGAAAAACAAGTGAAATGAAGAAACTGAAGAATTATTAATGTGGAAACAAACGCGTGAAATAATTATGCTTACTCATTTCCTCTCTCTCCATATTCGGTAACTTCCGGATACGTTTCCACCGCTAAAGCCATTGTTCTTTACTGAAATTAAGTTGAAAGACCAGAGTTTTAAAAAATGTCATAAATTTTCTATCTATCACCTATACTGTTATGCATAGGTTTACACCTGCACCAAAAGACATGAAAAAGCCATAGCTGATCTTGCTAATTTCATGTTGTCACGAAATAATAAAAAATAACAAAAGAGAAACACTTAACAACATTGGGATCGAAGAGCTTAACAATCGCGGGAGATTATTGCGAAGTAAACATTAACGCGGAGTCTCAACTGTATTTCTTTTCTTTTGTTCGCCGAGCTTGGATAAACGAGAGAGGGCTGTAAACAGTCCCAGCACCCTTTTCCAAGAATTTCTCAATTCATTGTTCTTCCCACTTTTCTCGTCCGATATCAGAGCGAGAGCTCTGGGAGATCAACGAACCTTCATTTACTCCAAGCTTGAAGAGCGCACACTTTTTGTTGGGGTTTAATCAAGTTTTCAATTTGCCGCGCAGTTTAAATTGTACTTCTTTTATTCTTACATTGAGATTTTATTTTATCTTCATTACATAATTTTTATCTTTTTTTCTTTGTTGTGTTTTTTTTTCTTTTCTCGACATTTTTTTTCTATTCAATTGTAATGCCATTCGCGCGAAGTCCTTATCGCGACACGGTCGACCTTACTTAGGAGGACAAAAGATTCAAATCAAATCGAGGACCCCGTGGTATTGTTCTCCCGTGACCTTCGCAATTTTTACATACTGTGACGCGCGTTGTTTCCGTTTATGTGACACCGGTTATGCGTTCTCCCTTTAGCGCGCGTGATCGCTTAATCGAGGTAACACTATCGTTCATCCCGACTTTCATGCTCGTTTAACCCTGGGCTATTTACATCAATAAAAATACGACGTCGGTGCGTGTGTTTTATAGCCACTTTGAAATTATCGTGATCATAAAACTTGACGTTTTTAAAGTGTACTCTGGAAAAAATATCGGAAAAATCGCACAACACAACGCCGCAAAAAAACGACGATATTCGAGAAAAGGTATTATCACGAGAAAACGTAATATTCTTCGACAAGAAATCGGAAAAACTTACGGTCGTAAATTTTCTTGTTTTCTAAAAAAAAAACTCTAGACGTCTGAAATAAAAGAATTTATTAAGAAGAAGAATCTATTATTGATTTTAAGTGGATAGGGATTTTTTACGATTAATGAGAGACGACTTTTCTCTTTATGCAACTTTTTTTTACGTAAAAAAAGTGTCGTTGCAACACTGACATGACAAACAATAGAAGAATTGACAATCGATGGATAATGAAAACACAATAGCGCAATACACATTGCATTAATCGAAATTGCTAAATAACTGGTTTTTTAATGTACGTTGTTTATGAGACCGTGTCAGTCCTCGACAAACAGAAATTATGGGTTATTCTAACAGATTGTAAAAACATTCAAGATAATTGATAATTGAATACTTATCATTAATCATTCACAAGTGTTGTTAATATATGAGAGAAGTTTTAAAAAAAGAAAAATCTCTTGTGGACTTTAAATTTAGAAAAGTTTTTAAATAAAATTAAACCTATAATATGTGTATATACATATCATTAGTTAATGATATATATATATATATATATATAATATTTTATATACATATATATAATGTTTTATATATATAAATATAAATCTATATTTAAACACAAATTAAACATACAGACGTATTTATTATTAGTTTAACCCACGTTTTCATGCCGTTATTATCGAAGTTAATTGACACACATATAAGTATAAATTACGTCATTCCTTTGTCACATTTCTTTGTCTCGGACATGCTATTTATTTTCGCAATAAGTGTTTGACTGCACAATCCAACATGTCTAAGAAAAATGCGGTTGCGACTTTACTTAATATAATATTTAACTACTGAGAACAGTGTTAGTTGCGATAACGAAGAAAGAAGCTTCTGTAATTACACACGCATTTTGTGTAACTGTATATGTTTCGGATAATCGGAAGATTAGAGAGCCACATCCATTTGCTTGCATCGTTATCACAGGCTACGTTGTTAAATAACACGTTTTGCGGCATATTTGTGATGATGCGTGATTTTGAACATGTCATAGATTGTTTAATATGCAAATCGTATAGTTATCTTTATCTCGGGAGATATGTAACGAAAACTTGGCGCCAAATAATATTTTTTTCTAGGGTTGCACGTATTATTATGAATTGCACTCAGGGTCGTATGTTTTTTTTTTACGCTATAGAAAACAGGAACAAAAGTGATAAACTCATTGTTGTTGCGACTTATCACGTTTTTTTTTTTTTTTTTTTTTTTTTTATTACATACGTTTCGCAACATGAATGTTTATTATTCCGATGTATCGCTCAAAAGTTTATTTTTACCCGTGAGAAATAATATCTGATTCTCTACTTGATTTATACGAAGATGTTAGTTGAAAAAAAAAAAAGTCGGATATTCTTAAACATAGCTTGTATCAGATTCGATTTTGTTTATAGATCAGAGTGTACATCATAACGCGCGCAATTGAGACGTGAGTTGTCGTGATCGTCCTCATTGCCGGAGCTGTACCTTCGGTGCATCTGCAGGCGAGATGCTTGCGATGTATACCGTTATAATCCGCGTGCAATCTGTAATGTACGATGTCGAGTGTTGTTAATCTCGGATTGCCAGGGGTTAAATTCTTCCACACGCGTTGTTTCTGACTTCGTTCGCACGCATTGAATTGAAACAGGCCGACGTCGTTTGTCGCGTCAGAAATAGAAGATAAAGCGTATCGTGCTCCGTCTTCTCTTTTTTTTCTCGTTTTTCTTTCCGCGCGCTGGAATCTATTTCAAATTTAATAGCGCGCACAGACAACTTGTTTCGCGAAAACTCGAAAGATCACTTTTAACGATTAAGGACAGTTTTGTGCGTGCGATGCGTAAATACGCGTCTACTTTTTTAAACGTAACTTTATTTATCTCGCAGAAAGAAAGAGCAAGATATTATCATCATGTTTCGATGTTTTAAACTTAAGGTTAAATTAAGAAGGTAATAATTTTACGTTTTTCTTCAAAGTATTACGTACTTTTGTTAAAAGATGTCCTCTCCGCAATATGTCCAACTTAATATTTTCCTATGTAATCACTGACCGATCTCTCTTTTCGCACTCATAAACGTCGTGATCAAAAACTGTTAGTATTGTACATATGTGATATCATAATCGCTACTAAATGACGATACGCCTCGTAACGATCACATCATCATTCGCGCGATATAAATATTAATAACCCGAATTTATCGTTCTCTCTGTCTTTGTCGATAAACAGACTCTATCATATGTTCGAGAAACCCGGTTTCCGATTGTTCATTTCAACAAGTCTTTCTTGCAATCTAACGCGTGATGTCACTTTATTTTTTTTTTTAGTAACGATCTTCCTTTGTGTGAGTTTTTCTATTCATGTCGCTAAGAGCTGAGACTTTTCGAGAGAGTTTTCGTGGCTTTTCAATGCTGTGTCCGGTGCACATACTGACCGACCAAGTCTAGAACAGCGAAGTTAAAGTCTTGCACAGTTCAGGCCTCATCCCTACTCTCTCTCAGTGTATACATACATACATTCTTCCTCTCTTGTGCTTCTTTCTCCCTGTCTGTCTTCATACTGATTTACGAGAAGAGGCTATGTGATACTTTTTTCTTTCCTTTTTTAAGTTCTTTCTGAAGAAGTCTCTGATGAAATATAGGGTCCCTCTCCCCCCAGTAAATCATGGAAACGGACTGATTTCTTTTGAGGAAAAGAAAATTTGTAAGTGTAGTCGAATAAAATGTTTTCTTTTCGGTTTAGTTTTCGGAAAGTTCGATATTGAAATTGAACAATACGACATTGTAAATTTGCATTGTATTTTTTGTCAATGTTGTATTCTTCTGTACTGTTTTATCGTCGTTGTTTTTTCTTCTCGTTAAAAAAGAAAAACAATTTTGTTTGTGGTATCCTCGTATTTATGAAAAACTGTGTGGCTTAGAGAGCTGCCACTTTTATTGAGAAGAACCTTGTTTGTAGATTTTCTAACTCCTCTCATCGAGAGGAGAAAATCCGGAACTGAGGCAGCAACAAGAAAATCTACATTCCTTCTTCGGACATTCGACCCTCGGGTCGGTTTAAGCGATGACTCGTAAAATAGATTTTGCTGGTCCAAATCGTGTGCACAATATTGTCAAAAAAAAAGGAAAGAAGCTGTGTTTTACTTCGCCGTTTATATTTCTCGACAAGTCATTTCTCTGTCTATTAACAGGTCGTTTTTGGAACAAAAGAAGTAGAGAAAAAGAATCTGTGGTCTATCTCGCTGATTGATATTGTTTTTGAAATCTATTGAGAAGAGGATATATATACACATATATATAATATATATACACGTATATATAATATATTTGACGTGAAAAATAAGCAACATAGAACCGTTTTACTGCGTTAACTCACTTATTAATTCGTATTTATCGAAGTTCACAAACGAATTTCAATAGCATTTCGATAGATCGTTCGATCAAATTGCAATTCACCGGAAACATTCTTTATTCCTGTCGCATTATTCATTCCGCGTACGCGTCACGTTATTTTGCGTTTGAGGGAAGTCGAGCGAAACGTTCCGAAGCGAACAATCGTTCGAATCGTGAAAGCAACGCACACTTTCGAAAATAATATTTAAGATCTCATTGAGGATCGTAATTGCAATACAAATAGTTAATTATATGTTACTTACGGTTAATAATGTTACTTAGATGTGTGTCTCAATTATTCTTATTAAATCATCTTGAATAAGTTCTTCCGAGTTTCAGCAAAAATCGGACGCTTACATAAAACCTTTCGCGATTATTGCTCGCGTTATTGAGATATACTGATGCATCTAGATATACTGATGAGATATACGCGATGCGTCTAGATTCGGGAAATAGATCAATTAGATATGAACAACAAACGAAATAAAGCACTGTATTCTGTACCAATGTTTGTGTTACCACGCGATGGCGAAGAATAACCGCGAGAAACTGTTTCGATCGTCTATATATCGACAATACAATATACATACATACGCATCAATAAACATATCTTATGTCAATACTGGTAATTTTGAATGTTAGAAAAATAGCGTGAAGACATAATCGAGATAAACTGAAATTTTATGATACACACACGTGCGACACATATTTGTTTATATCGTCGTAAAACATTGCGATTACTAATATCGCGTGTTTATCTTGATAATTTATATATGTTTTTTGCGACACAATCCATAACTTGAAGCAACTTAATCGCGACTGCGACTTTCGCGCATTTTATTTTTATTTCAATTTCTTCGACTATAAAAAATAATGTCTCTTACAAACATTATTTTGTTACTATCAAATATCGGGATATTAAGACGCTTTATAATTCGTAAAATTTGTTTTTTAATGTTTTTTTCTAAGAAATTCTATATTGTCGAATCTCCGTGCAACTTTGTTTTAGCGGTTGCTATTTCTTTGCAAATTCTTCGTGTAATTTTGTCATTAAGCTCTGGTACTATAATAATGTCATACATTGATGCATTAAATTAATCGTTACGTAATAAGTCTCGTTGCGCGTGCGCACTTAAGGAAACTAACGACAGAGAACGAGATTCTCTTTCCGCGCACCACCGTACAAAATAACATTAATTCAGGTAAACGTCGGAAAAGACAATGCCTAATCGTAATTGTATGACGAATCCGTTATGATATCTTCTATATTTGTCTCATTTCGAATAATTCGTGTAATTACGCGGTTCGTAAGCAGACCTAGAAGAAGCCACTGTCGCAAATTGATCATGAAGAGATAATAACAATTACACACACACACACATACACGTAATATATTGTTTACATATAATTTACACTTTGTGATAATAAAATAATGCAAGATAAACATATCTAAATTGTTTACAGAATATATTTTTAGTTACATTATTAAAACATGTGAAATTTAAATTTTTCTTTTCTCAAAATTCTATCGATTTTTGTTTTATTGATCGAAGTCTCACGTAATGGCACAATTACAAAATTTTGTATGCGATAAGAAAACACTTCGACGTAATTGTTAGAAGCATACAAACGAACTGCGTGTTTTTCCAACAGCGATGTATCTTCATAAAAAGAGCTTTGGTAATTTCATCATGAAAATTGCATGCGATCGTTGATATAAAAAATTAAAAGATAATCGTTCCGTTGAGCGTGGTATTCCGGATGCGCGTTGTTCACGCAAAAAAAAAAAAACAGAAAAGACAAATAATTGCGTTTACATACGGCAGTATTTATAGATTTTTTTTTACTTATTTGTTGAACGCGAGATGCGTTTACGTAAGACGGAGCGAAAATTAATTGATCTGTAAAATGCGTTCAAATGAATCGCGCATGTGTGATGTCAAATTATTTAACCCTTTAATGTGTATGCTAAATCAGATGTGTGCCGGTTGCGTATAGGAATTTGCAGCAAATTTTGAAAAATGCAGTTTTCTTATATATTTCTAATATTTTTTTTTAACAAGAAGCAAATGACAACAATATTGAAATATTTTTTTAAACACTTTCACACTTTGTAATTTTTCTCTCGCGACAATACTATAACAGAGATTTCCAGTATTATTTCGTTTTTGGAGAAACATTAACACCTGACGTATGATCTACGAACGTGTATATTACGTATGTTAATGAAAAATTATACTTGCAATGTAGTCACAATGTGACGAATATTCGTTGCCTTTCACAATGGCCATGCGACGGAGTTTGATAGTCTTTGATTTAATACTTCGCATACGGGGCACGCGTTATTGATGTCGCACACGGCATGATTAATCATCCATGTTAATTAACAGTACAAGTTCGACCAATGACACGTGCCTATTATTCCTAAGTGTTTTGTATGCACCGACGTTTCGACTGAGGAAATGTCAATGATCGCTAGATCAATCGCATACATTCGACGGCGACATTTAACATTTAAGATTCAGATTTCTTTACAAGAGTATTTAATTAATTTTACACCGTTTTGTTTTTTTAAACACATTTTGTTTTGCCAATGAAAGATCGACGAGTTGCGTGTCGTTTTTTTTTTCTTATTTTCCAAAAATCGTTCAGAACGACGGGAAAACTCGTCTTTTTCATACGCATTATCATTGTTCAGGCGCACATAATAATTGTTACATAATTTAGTATCGTTGTCGGCATCGTTGGCATCGTTACGTCTCGTTTCTCCCGGGACGTTATTCGTTTCTATATACGGATCTCACGCGATTAAAAAACATCGATGCGAACGATCGTCGTCTTTGATGTTTTTCCACGGTCACAGACGATCGTGTGAATCTGCAAGGTGGCGAAGTTCGCGAGGATATAAATTTCGTAGTCGCGATGCGTTGCCGCACGACCGCAAACTTAACATTGAACTGACGTTACGCCCGCGCAGCCGAATACGAACGACTAAATTGGACCCGATTCAATTTTATCCCGAAGGTTAAAAGCACGTGAAATAGAGCCTACCGCACGCCGCTACTGTTTTAGCTAAGAAGCGAGAATTTTTATTAAGAGGATTTTTTAAGAGAATTTTACACGATGTAATATAATACACGCATTTTACACATCTGCGATATATTTAATATCGAAGATACATCGCTTACATGATAAATTTAGAACAAAAAGAGTAATAATTTAAATATAAATTAATAATTTAAAATAAATCATTGCGAAAAATCTTATTCGATGCTAAGAGTCGAACTCATTTTATTTATTTCTCTAGTTATTAAAAAATATTGCTATTTTGTTTGTATACTCTGATCAATCTCACATTTCGTGTTGTTCATTTCATAGAGAAGTACAGGATATATGCGAGTCTCTCGTTCGCGGTGCTGCTGCTGGGAATCGGCGTGCCTCTCTGGTGGCATACCACGAAGGTACCCCGTGTTGCGCTACCCTACACCGGAATCGACGAATTGTCGCAGCTGGACATCAGGATCACCACGAAGATCATTGTTGCGGCGCTGTCGTACGACCGCGGTCAATTACTGACGCGCGAAATCAAACAGGCATTCGCCAATGCTGGTAAACGGATAAAAAAAGTTAATATAGAAAAATCAATGTTTTATTTCGTCGGCGGAACATAATGTAATAAGATAAGAAAGAAATAGAGTCAAAATTACATATGCGACGAAACACGACAAAGAGAACACGCACAATAGATATGTTTTCTGACCTGACAGAGGATCTGTGTGTTCGTGAATGTGTTTTGTAAAATTCGAGCGTCTCTTAATGATTGTTAGTATGTATGTACGCATACATAGTGATGCAAATATAAAGACCTTTGATTCACGTGCGTATATGTATAAAATTAAGCAGTTAAAAAGTTACGTCAAACAATCGACGATGATGTCAGAGTTGCAGCGATAAAATCTGATTAGTTGTATCTATGATGTGTTTGTGTTGTAAACACAAACAGTATATAGTCCGATCTCGACTTTCCAGAGCTGTATCAACTAGACGTGGAATATCAAGTGATATCCAATAACTTGCTGTTCGCTTTCGGGCACCAACTCGAAAAGGTAGCGGCGACTTTCGACCTGGATGTGGGTAGCTTGCTCTTGCTGGAAACCACAAATCTGAAAGATGCCATTGTGGTTGGTCCCAAGAGAACGCTGTACTTCTCCACCAAAGCCAGTAAGATTTGCAATCGCCATTGACAACATTGCTTCGTATCACATGCTTATTATCTGGAACTGCGTCAGAGTCAGCTTACTGGCGTATTACAATGTTTTCATTAGAACGTATTAAAAATAACATGTCTAATTTGCGTTACACGGAATTGACGTAAGATCATTTTTACAACAGTCGAAACTGTGTAAACAATTGAACTTATTTATCTTTTATCACATATTTATATCAAATAATAAATATAACAAAAATAATTATGCTAATAAGAAAAAAAGCGTGATAATAATAATGTAAATATAAAATGTGCGGATTATATTATATCTGTTCGATATTAATTATTTATTTCGACAGAATTTAAACTTTTTCGCTTGAGCCTACTAAGTCTCAAGTAAGTTATACCGTATTTATCTATGATATCATGTAAATATCTTCGCAGGCGATGCTAAATTGATACAAGTATTGTCGGAATGGATTCTACACGATAAATCATTGGCGCTGACAAAGAACGCGCTTGCCGAGCCTACTATGTATAGTTTGGACGAGGAAAACAGAAGGCGATTCCCAGCTAGTCCGGCGTACGACATTCTAATCACTTTGGTTAACCCTGACCCTGAAAAGTTAAAGATTGTTTGGGACTTGAAGATGGTATCCGAAGGTGCGTTCATACTTTACTAACACTTGTAATTTATATATGTGCGTAATGACATTATAATGAAGTAAAGTGTATTCCGTAAGAACTTCAACATTTCGCTCTACCGTCGGTGAAAAAGTACCAGAAGAAACTTCATGTCAAGTCTAGCACAACGTTGAAATCTTAAAGACTGAGATTTAATTTATCTTGCAGGCTACATGAAACCGTTCTTGAACGAGTTATCTATTCTAAGCAACTTCTCGGTCAAATCACAATGGCTGTACCTGTTATCTTTGGACATGAATCCTAGACGCGTGCCTGATAGCAGCCCGAGTCGCAGACATTTTGCTTTACGTGAGAGCGTTTTGCCGCAGCTCGTGACACCGCTGGAGAAGAAATTAGGTTCGTAGCGCGTGTAAGGGAGTACGTATATCAAGCATTTCTTACTGAATTTTAGCATCGCAGGTTAGCCTCCATCCGTGCATTAATTTGGTCGTCTACATGGTGCCGTGCGATAGCGCGCCTCTGCACATCTACACTCGCAGCGGACACAAACCACGAACGGATAACAACGTGGAAGCCTTTCTCTCTCCGAGGTATACATATTCGCACTTCCCGAAGACGATTAAATATATATTGATTTCACACACAAACTTTGTACAAATTATATAAAATTAGTTAGTTTTATTGAAAATTGTATAATTAACATAGATGGGGTGGTGTAATTTTGGTCAATCCACCGCCGGAAGCTTGCGAGGTGACGCGAGAGAACGAAACTGTTACAATCGTTCCCGAAGAAACCGCCATAGTGGGCACGTTTCTGGCACAACTTCGACTATTATTAGGCATTCCAGAAACGGTAACACAATAGCTTCTTGCAATTTTATATACAAATTATAGAACGTTGAATTAAATTTAAAAACTTACGTTTTTTGACGCATTTTACCACATCGCGCAAATAATAAACAAGTAAAATAATTCTAGAAACCTATTAACGGGGTGACATCTGTGCCATTGGTGGGATTGAAATCTCGGGATTGGGAAATCGATTCCCTGTTGAGATTTCGCACCGTCGAACAATTGACTTCGGCGAAATTGACCTTGCAATCGCTGGCGCAGCTGCTCAAGGAAATTAGCAATATCGTTATCACGGACGTGGTAGGAAACAGGATCAAGACCGCACTCGAACTGGTACACCAATCCGCTGAACATCTGCAGCGGGGCGATCTCCAACGTAGCTTTATCCTTAGCAAAGAGGCTTTCGTTACCGCCGAAGCGGCCTTTTCCGATCCGACGCTTCTGGCGCTTCTTTACTTCCCGGAGGATCAAAAGTGAGTGCGACTTTGTTTACATTTCAAGTAAAAGACACTGGTTCTGTCGTAAATTTTACACTCCAAGCAATTCTTTTTTTGTAGATACGCCGTGTATATACCTCTGTTTCTGCCGGCGATGATACCGGTATTGCTGTCACTTAAAAATATAAAAAAATACTACTTTCCTGAAAAGAGTAGTACAAGTAAAAAAACAGATCGTAATGAAAGTAAGAATGATGAGGACAAAAAACTGAAGCTCGGATAATAAAAGGTATTTATCTGCTTAATAATATGATGATTATGTACAATCATGCGATCGCTCGTTCGAGATCATTTCGACCGTAGGTAAATGTACAGCAGTGACATATACCGTATGATTTCGCGTAATATGCAGTGATATCGACTGTTTCATCGCAGAAGCTCTTATCTATAAATTTCTTTTATTTGCATCTAGCGTTAAAACATAGCTATCGCGTATAAATATATCGGAATATTTTTAACACGCGCCACTGGAACGTAATACATAAATTTAGTTTGCATTTAAAACTAATTCCGTTAGTCGGAATCGTGTGTGATCTTAATATTGATCGCGTTAAGTACGAGAATAAATCTACGAACTGTTTTTATTATTATTATTATTTAATATTATTATTATTATTATTACTTAACGTCGCTTGTATAACCGGCGACAGTTTCGCACACTGAGAGATTCTCGCGCGAAAAGAGAAAACATCAATGAAAACGCGTGAAAAAACCGATAATATCTGTTTTTATTTCAAAAAAGAAAACGTTCGATGAGACATAATATGTATATGTGAAATCATTTGTACGAAAAAGAAAATATAATAAGCGACTTTTTTCTTGAGCTAGTTTTTTTTTCGTATTTGTTTTTATTCGAAGAACGAGGTCTGTGAGCAAAATCCCAAGCAATCCGCAAATATTAAATAGATTAACATCTCGTTTAATCTCTCTCTCTCTCTCTCTCTCTCTCCCCCTCTCTCATGTTTGCTTTCTTTTTTCACATGCGGTCAAAATATGCATACAGACATACATTATCACGCATCCAAAAACGCAAGGTTCCGCGCAACATCTTCATTCCTCGCATGCCTTTTCGATTAGATTCCAAAAGTTAATAATCAATTAAATCGCGTTAGAAACAACTCTACGAATTTTTATGTACATGTATATCAAATCAATCCTCAACCACATTACCAAAAGGTTACAAAAAAAATTGCGAACGTTATAAATTACTGTAAAAAAAAATTGAGATGAAAAATAATATATGTCCATCTACCGTGAGAGACCGCCTTTCTTTTTTTCTCCCTATATTTGATTTATGGTTAAATAAAGAGTTCAATGTCATTCAGTAAGAAAAGAACATATAGTAATAAAAAATAACTAATAGTAAAATAGTTAGCTGCTCTGACATTAGCTAGTATAAAATATACATGTAGCTAGTATAAAATATACTTTTCACTTAAAAAAAAAAAAAAAAAAAAACGAAACGAAAATAAAAAGAACCGTACGTGGCCAACAAAGTAAAAATAATTGCTCGAGAAATGCCGTGCGCTCATAATAAATTATTAATTAACAAATGGAATAAACTTGATGAAAGTAAAAATATCTTGACTGCTTATCGTGTTTCAACTTTGTCAAGAATTTAAAAATTAATTAACAGTGATAACATACGAACAAATGATACTATTAACGATGTATAAAGTGTATAAGTAGCATTTAGCTATGTAACGATCGCAATAAAACACGTATCTTGAGAAAAAAAGTATCTTAATGTGCCAACAGCACAGAATTAATTACTATAATTAGTAGTCTCTTTTTCTAGGAATAATAATTATCGTATCTATCGTGGATCTCAAATGGTAGCTGGACATTGTTAAAAGTAAAAATAAATTAGTCGTCGAGCGGAGGAGCTTACTATGAGAAAAAAAAAAAAAATAGAAAAAAAAGAAAAAACGATAAAGAGCAATTAAGTCAACAGGGACTTTGAACTAATTGTATCGCGTGTTGCAGAGCATCAGCGATATTCTGAAAAACAGGTACACCTTCGCGCGTCGCATAATCCGACAGGTACATCCTCCCCCGGTTGTAGTCTTTTCTGGCTTGTTCAGTCAGCTATTAAAAATAAAAGTAACGGTTACTTCTCTGAATGAATAATTTATGATGTTCCGGTTATATATTAGAATACTGCTAAGAATAGTAGTGAGCAATTCAATGTCAATCTAATAGACGATATAAAAATTATATTTAGTCGTACTTGTTCACCAGACACGATAGAATCCTCAGGAAGAGTTTGAACACAAAGGACAAGCTTAGCGCGCAGTCCGATCAAATGAGCTGCCAAAGCCATAATGGCAATACCGCGCGAATGTTGCGGCACTATCAACAGAGTGAGCCGCGAGTTCTTTATCTTCTGCAACTCCTGCGGCAATACTCTTACATTGTACTCGTTCAGGTTTGGTCGGTACATGGACAATTTCATTGACCTAAAAGACAATCGATGAATTGTGTTAACAATTGCGCTTAATAAACGCGAGCAAACGATTAACATCGATATCAGAGTGCCGGTACTCACTCTATCAACGGCACTGCGGAAGATTCTAACCAAAACAGATCTTTGCTAACTACGCCGATGTAAATGTCTCTTTTCTCGGATTCCTGGACGAGGGAATTTGCCCAATCTAAAAAGATAGTTCAATAGCTGGATAGATGAACGCGTTGTGGTTTATTTTCTACCTAGTCTACGAAATAAGTGAAATTCAGTGTTTGATCGTGGAAGATGAGAAGACGGAACACTTAAGGGTAAGAAAGAAAAAAGGACGAGAATTGGTGAGTGCCGAAGATCGTGGGAAATTGTCAAAAATCAGAAATACCTAGGAAACGATTAAAAGGATGTACAATAGCTCGGCGTAAGAAATATGAGGCCTTCCTACTTAATATATTCCATACTGAAGGTATCTCACTTTCACAAGAAATGCCGTTACTCTTCGTCCTCATCCACGATGACTCGTTAGCCAAAGCGCAAAACTGTTCGAAATTGATTCGCAATTCCTTCGGATCGCTCTTTCCCGGGAATCCGTCAATCAACGTTCTGTACATTTCTATATATACAATAAACATATCGCGTTATTGATTTAAAAAAAAAAATCAAAAAGAGATAGTAAAACGTATAATTAATCAAATATGACGCAAGACCATTACCGGATTTATTTACTGTGTTAAGCGCATCGGACAGAGACACATTGTTGCACATCGGATTTGACTGCAACATTATCCACGCCTGGAAACAAACAATCATGCTGAAGTTGCTGAACGTTCAAAAATACTTTATGCGGTAAAGCATACATACATCCACTAATTTTACCGTACCGCTATCATTAACATCTATAGATTCGAAAATCTCTCGCAATGACCTATAACATCAAAATACACATAACTCTTTTTTTTTATATATTTTGTAAACAATTATACAATCTCTATGTGTCAGAAACTTACATCGCATCCGTTCCATTCTGAGTAAGCGAGATTCTTATAGGTCTGATGCCATCCTCGGTATACAAATCCGTGCAATCTTGTACGTTGATTTCTTCGCGTAACATCTGTCCGTGCGTATATTAATTATTAATTATACGATGTTAATTACAATATATCAATTATTAATTCTTTGACGCGTTGACTTGTGATCTATTTACCTTCGACGTACAATGAAGGGCAACTGACACGCTTTCGAATATCGGTATCCTTTGCCGCTCCATTAGATACTGAAGTACTAGCAACCCGTTCATTAAATCGTAATATTCTCTGTGAAATAAAATCCACGCAATGATAAGACGAAAGTGCTGAGGTTGTGGCGCGCGATTAAATAAAGAAACTTACCGTGTAGAAACGGTTTCTCCGAGAATAGTTTGTCCCTTGCGATACGGATAAATAACGAGAACCAGGGACTCGCTGCGCGTAGCTGCCAGTTGAGCTGCTTCGATTATGCCCGCACTGTTGCGCGTCTGGTTGTCGATGACAAACAGTAAAACCCGCGCCGTTTGCTTCGCCTCGTACTCCTGAGCTATCAATTCCGGACCCCATTGCGACACTTGCTGCGATATAGAATCCAGTTTTGATTTATGTCTTAAGCGCGTGTGAAATTGACGACGACAATAAAAATAAACGGCTTACAGGATTGTAGTAAGTAATTCCGAGGTTCTGAAGAGTCGGTATTGCTATGTCTGACCTCCAGGTGGTTGGATTACAAGACCCGCCCAAAAATACCTCATATGCCATTCTCTCTAAATAACCAATTGGTAAATAATTAATCGAGTGACCGCTTGGTTGAGAAATTCGAACAATTCGCAACAAAGAGAAGCGATTGTTACTTACTTGAACCAATTTTGTGATTAGTGTCCTTTCCATCACCGTGTAATGAGCGAGAGGCGTTCATAGGAACAGCAGCTGCTCTAGAGATAAACAAAAGTAAACACATGTAACACAATTTCAGCCCTCGAATCCCCACATTTTGCTCCAATATTATCACACTCAACATTCCTTAAGAGTTATTATGTTCACAGTAAGATATGTCATTTAAGAATGTGACTCCTCTGTTCGCTTGGCCGTATATATAGGCCTCTATATACAGGCTGAGTTGTCAAATTTTGTAATTAGGAAAGTTTTTTTAGTTTCTAAGACTTTTTAATTGTTTATTAATATTGCCAGAAACAAGTTTTGTTTGTTCCGCATGAAAACTCGTGGTTATAAGTGTGTTAGTGTGTTTTTGACAAGAGATTAACAAGCGTGTAATAAAAACTTGATATAACACAGATATTAGTTAAATGATCATTTCATTACACGAATCAGCCTGTACAGCAGGTAAGAGAGACGTCATCAATTACATAATTGGTAAAACGACATTTCATTATTCGAGTGTGGTAATAGGACATAGTATATAACGATAGGCATTTAACAATTTGCAACTGAACGTACTTCCAAATATCAAAGAATTTTGTAACGACAGACATCGCGTTGCGTTTCATCATCGTTTTAAAATATTCCCCACCATAATCATAATCAAATGTTCAATATTTTTGCCTGAAACACACATAGATCTCCCAACGATTGATCGCAAGATTTGCGTGTATATATGGAGAAAAATAAAATTTGTGCATTAGCCGTCATTACTACATGAGAACATGTGTACGTGACGTCTTTAAGGTGCTGAAAAGTACCTAGCAAAATCGAACCTGTCAATATACTGTAAAGTTTTTATGTTACCCTCGCTCGCACAGACGTGCCAGTTCAGTGGCAAATATGCAGAATTCTTCTAACATTATACAGGCATCGGTACATTCGGGACAGTCTTCAGCATCATGCCGCAGCTTGTCGCACAGCTGCAAGCAGTTTGGAAACAACAGCATCACGTATATTTCTTGTATCTGAAAAAAAAAAAAAAAAGAAACAATCTTCTTTTATTCCGTTTCAGCAGAAGATTCCATAAAAACTACATGTAAAGAAAGTACTTGCACACTTACACAAAGTGTACAGATGATCGTTAAGTTTAAGAAGCTCAATTGAAGTTTGGTGATAAATATTCCTCATCATTTATATAAACTTACAATCGATCTAAAAAATGCTTGTTTCCAGAAGTATGAATATATCTATGTGCTTTTCAAGTGGAATTTCCAAGACTTCCTAGAAAAAACGATAAATATACATTCCTAGATAAAAACTTATCTTAATGAAGAATATTCTTTTGTATTTGGATAGTTACACCTACCTTGACATTTTTGTCAGAGTACATTCCAGTGTACTAAATGCTTGCCACAAAGAGCAGTTGACCTTTGTTTCTTCTAGATCTCAAGCCTATCTAAATGAAACAGAAAGAAAACTCCCAATATTACAGTTGACACCACAAATTTATTACATATTCACACCTACATTATATTTACAGCAAAAGTTGTGTACACACAATTTTCCTATTTATTACAAGCATATGATATATACATTTTTGGTGATTATTACTCCAGTCATCATCACATCACCGTAACAACACGATTACTCACTAATATTCCCGAGAAATGTACGCACTCAGTATTTCCCGTAATTTACAATTAATTTATTAAACGATTCGGAGAAATCATATGATCAATTAGCAAAATGTTAGAAAATGATTAATTATCGTTTGAGTCGGAGAGATCAATATAAAGTAATACTTAAAGTCTATCGAACGCAAAGCGCCTTGTCAACAATCACGAAACAGCGTAACAAATCGCGTGTCACCCGCACATATATACGTGTATGTGTGTGTGTATATATATATATATAAAACAACCACCTTGTTGCGTCGCTTCGTTATAGTTTCTTTGTATTACAAAAAGATAAAGTCACTGAAGTCATTGCACAGAGTTAATTGATGAAGTTTTCACATTTCGTAACGCAATATCACACATCTGAGATTCATAAAGAGAAATTATCATTAAGAACACAAAAGTTGTGATTATCGCTATCATGTGTGTGTGTGTGTGTGTACTCGCTCTCCGAGAGAAACTTGAATTGTTCCTCCAACTTGCAACCGAAATATTTATCCAGAACAAAAACTATGAATTCGTTGCGAGCGCAACGGAACCCGTTTGATTGATATTAAACGAGGATAACTTTTCAACGCAATCTCGGACTCTTTTTGTCAGGAAGTACGTTTCTACTCTCCTCCTCTCGCGTGTTTCCACCGTTTATCGGTACTTCCGTCGCTTTTTCTATCATCATCCTCGCCGACGTCACTTCCACGGGGTTGGACAACACACACACACACACACTTACATACGCAATGACACACAACAGACGACGAAGCATCGACAACGCACACTAACCTTGATGACGTTCGGGTGTTGCATACACAAAGAACGGCGTGTAGAAACGAGAGAAAAAAATCACGGTTGTCCGGAGTGTGTGCATCCGACGAGATGTGTGATGTGCACCCCTCGTTTTCACGTTCTCACTCCCGCTCGTTTCCCGCTTTCGGTCCTTCTTTTTCTTTCTCTCTCTCTCTCTCTCGCTCTTTCTCTCTCTTTCTTTCTATAACGTGGAGAGCGCGTGGATAAACAACGCGTATCCGCGCGCGCGTATGGCAGAAAAATCAACGGCGGTGGCGACGCGAGGAGCCTCGCCGCGCACTCCCGCTATTGCTCATACTTATTTATACACCGTTATATTTAAAATGAAAGAGAGGCGCGCCGTGTGTTGTTGTCGTTGTCGTTGTCGTCGTCGTCGTCGTCGTCGTCGTTGTCGAGCGTGCACCTTTGACTGGGCAGACGAAGAAGAGGATCCGTGTTCGCGGTGAGCCAGACAGATCTCAATCACACATCGTCTTCAACCTTCGGGGCTGCTTTCCGCCTGCGTTGACGACACTCGCGCGAGCGATGCTCGCGAAGTCGCGCGGCGTCGAATTGCGCCGGATCTTGCTCGCGACCCGACGACGGATACCGCGCGCCGAGATCACCCACTCACCAACCAGAGGACAGATCAGACGTGTGAATTTTCACTCGTAAATATTAGCGCGAGTTTTCTTTATGTATCGGAGAGATACATAAACAGAAAAAAAAAAAAATGGAACGACTATCACGATGCACTGAGCGTTGACATGTTCCCGATCGGGGAGAAGCGTTATTGTTTTTGTCAACAAATGTCTCCGCGCGAATCTTACATTGAGCGCGAGATCGCGTCTGGACAAACGTCGTCGTCGGCGACGAGTGTATATCGCGCGCGCGTTTCCCGATATAATGCGCGGACACGAGAGCACACTTCCGTGGACGCCTCGTTGTTGTGAACGCGCGAATATATACAGAACGAGTATCACAAGAACGAAGAGAGAAAGAGAGTGAGCGATTCAAATCTCACTCAGGTCAGCGACGACGGGGTGGGCGACATTTTATCGCTTGTTGTCTTTTCCGCGACGAGAAGGAGGTTGTCTCTGCATGCGTGCGTTGTCGAGCGAGCGAGCGAGCAAGCAAGCGAGCGTGCGTGCGTGCGTGCACCCGTCCGTCGTCTCCGCGCACCGCGACTCTCCCAGCGGCGGGCTCGGGGAATGACGTAAACCTCCAACAATGAAGCGTGATGTCACACACGGTGAAGTTCGCAGTCGACTCTCCGACCGTCGCGCCGCTGTTCCCTCTGTGTAGTACGTGTGGTGGTGTGTGTGTGTGTGTGTATACATATATATGTGTGTATGTGACTATGTACGCGCGCGCTTCCAAGGACCTTGAATTTCGTGGTTGCCTCGACGCGCACCTAGCTCCGCCGATGACGTCATCGGCCGCCGCGGCTGCAGCAGCGCGAGAGATGAGAAGAGAGAGAGATCGTCTTCATCGCGCGCGCGAAACGATTCAAAAAATATTCCCGCGTTGGGATAAAAACAGCGTGATGATGCGGTCACGAGCGCGATTTTCGATATCGTCATGCGCTTTACGGGACTCTATTGTCTTTGGTGTTGCGCGCGTCCGCGATCGTGGGTTATACCGCGCGCGACGAAAATGGCGAATGAAACGCGCGCGCGCGCTGCTGGTTGTTTTTTTTCTCTTTTCATTCCCGCTGACGCAAGCAAATGACGATGCGAGAGATTTTACGTTGTGACAAAAAAAAAAGAAAAAAAAACGGTGTTTCTGCCGCGATTAATTCAGAGAAATATGTGGATGCAGAGCAATCACTTGTCTCTCTCTCTCTCTCTCTCTCTTATTTCTTCTGCAGAATAATTCAGAGAAATATGTGGATGCAGAGCAATCACTTGTCTCTCTCTCTCTCTCTCTCTCTTATTTCTTCTGCAGAATAATAAGTCGCACGACCATTATCGATAATACGATCATAAATAGAGTATGTATTGCGTTTCGAGTCTTCGTCTTGTTATATTCTCAGGAGTGCTTTATTTGCACATGCTTTAGATTGGATTGCAAATCCAATCGCAAGTCACGTTGAAATTTCGAGCATGGCGTCGCCCGTTTCTTATAAGAACGGTCGATGACATCAGTCTCCATCAGGTTCCGTCGTCCTGAAAGGCTTCACTCTCCGCGCATCTAAAAAGACTCTCGTGCGTAGCTCTCTCTCTCTCTCTTTCTCTCTCTCTATACGCGCGCGATAACTTAGAATGTATGTATCGGGCTGCGCGCGAAGCGGGGCGAGAAGTAAAAGGTTGGGACCGGCCAGGAGTGTGCGCGACGGTTTTGATCAAATATGGTATGGGAGTATTCGAGTAGCGTCGCACGGCCGCGCTCGAAAATCGCAAGATTTTGCGCGCAAACGCCTCTGTTGCAATCGGCATGTCGCAAATCCGTTTTCGCTCTCTCGGATTTCGGATGGAAATGAAATTTTCTGAGGTCACGCCGAGATTTCACGAAGGTGTGAAAGGATTGTTGTACGTGACGCAAATTTTTGACAGTTCGAAACACACACTGTGTACATAGCGATGTAAATTAACATCGCGTGTTAATGCGCGCGTGATTATACATACGGTGTTATTAAATTAAAAAAAGTATTACATTCTTCAAGCTTTATATATATATATAAAAGAGATTTTGTGCGAAATTGCAAGTTGCGCGATTCGCATGCGCAAAAATCCGGGTCAGTAGCGAAGTTCCGCGATGTGTGACAGCTTGACATGTTAGTCCTTTCTTTATCTTCCCTTTAAAACACACATGCTGCCTCGTTGCAAGTGCAAAAAGTATTAAAAAAAAACAAAAAAAAAAGAGCAGCGGAAAAGAAAGAGAGAGAAAAAGATAAACGTGTGTATGTGTACGACACGCATATGTATATATAAATCAAATTATATGACACAATAACGTGCAGATGTGTACTCACAAGGGTGATGATCTCGGAGGTTGACTTCTATCGGGGAGATCGCGGAGGCGCGAATCGACCGCGATCAGCGGCGGCGAAATAATGAGGCGATATAGCTTCGCGCGTTATAGGAGAGCAAGAAGAGTCGCGGCGCGACTTAGAAGCCGCTCTCGCTCGCGATAGAGAATTCGCGCGCACTCCCGGAAAGCGCGCGCCGCGCTCTGTTCACGACATAGACAGAAAAGCAGATACGAGAACGTGATAAGAAAAGCGGCGCACTTATTAATTTTTTTTTTTTGCCTTTTTTTTTTTTTTTTTTTTTTTTTTGGTTTTTATTTCGCTGCTCGCTTTCTATTCTACCGTCGTCTGTCTGCCCACCTCGGGCTTAGGACATAGGCACGGCCCACCCACGTGAGAATTAATTCGCGCTCGAAGGAGCACGCCTCCGATTTTGACCCGATCGAGCGAAACGCAATAACAAAACTGACGTGATTATTAAGTAGCGTCAATTAAAGCGTTCTTTTTTTTTCTCTCAGACACAGTATCCGCGTGTGCATTAATAACTTGACACGTGAGTACATACATTACATCTAACGTGCTCGTGTGAAAAATGATACAATCATCTATATTTGCCTTATTTGTCGTCTCTCTCTCTCTCTCTCTTTCTCTCTCTCTCTCCTCTCCCTCTCTCTCTCTCTCTCTCTCTCTTCTCCTCCCTTTCTTTTACAGTTCCGTCTCTTTGTGAGAAAATGCTATCGTATGCGCGAACGCAACTGATAATGCGGAAATTATTCCAAGTGATATAATCGTTATTTTCATACGTTGCATTTTCCAAGCCGTTTTCGCATCACGTCACGCGTTGCGTTGTATGCGCACGGTTTTATTTATGTAAAAAGAAAAATCATACTTACGTGTATATAATATACATGTGATTTTTTTTGGAAAATTCTGTAATATTTGATAAATACTTTTCTTTTTTCTTTTTATCATATTTCTGCTGTTTTTTTTTTTCTATCGAACTTCTCTATCGCTGTGTGATAAAACTCTCGGTCGACATTGGATCTGTTCTTTTTGTCCGCGTTGAAACTGCACTGTAATTGAACAGGGCGAGGTTGAACCTCAGGAACCAAGTATTCACAGGTCCACTCTTATATTCCAGATATGACCGTTTTATTGACAGAATATCTTACAGCGTTTTCGATCGGTACGAGTTGAATCGCTTCCGGAGCAATTAATGTTATCACTTCGGTAAATCAAGCAATATAATTGGTCGATTCAGATTGACGCCATTGGTCTTCGCTTCAGGAGCGATTCAACTTGTTCGGATAGAAACTACAGGTTTGTTCGCGTCGCATGCTCCTACTCGCCCCAACGCGCTTTTTTTTCAATGAACAAACCTCTAGCAACACTGATCTACTTATAATAGAACGATGAATATCGGTCATAATTTATTTTCTCATGAAAACGCGTATTTCTTGGTTACGCGTTGGTTTCCCCTCTTAAACGTTTATACGCTTTACGGGGAAACGTTCGTGTAGTAGTACACAAGAACGATTCATTTTACGCGATTCGTATGTAGTTGGGCGTAAACATGCTGTGCGTGCATTGACGTGCAGTACTTTACTAGTCCGCTGTTGTAAATTGAATGGGATAGAACGATCTGGATGCGTCACGAAAATGCTCGGTATACTCGTGGCTGGAAGATTAGTAAGTATTAAATATCAATAAGCAGAGAAAAGTGTTTACTTATCGCTAAGTATGTCAAATGTATTTCTGTTGTGTTAAATGAGAAAATTATATATCCTGGCAAGTATCAATTTTTTTCCCTAGAATAATCTCGTCATGTCTACGTGCACGTTGTGCGCGTGTATTAAGATAAAATGCCGCAGGATCAAGCAGGATTAATTCTATTACATTCAATAACCGCACCAATTACACAGTTGCTCTCTTATAACATTAATTAAAATTGATTGTAGGTTCAGACTGATTTCCAACAAGTTGGAGAGAATCAGTTTTTGATTACTGTGCCTGATGCTGATAACATAAATCATATAGTTGTTTTTCTCACTGGCACCATACCTTTTCCAGATGGCATGGGAGGCGCAGGTAGATTAGATCTAATTCAGTAGTTAACTTCTTTTTTTACAAAACAAAAAAAAACCAAAGATAAGTAATTGATTTTGATAAAGTATTATTCACATAACAAATTGTTTGCAGTATATTTTAGTTGGCCAGATTCAAATGCACCTCCCAACTGGCAATTTCTTGGATTTATTTCCAATGGCAAGCCATCAGCTATCTTCAAGATATCAAACTTGAAGAAGAACCATGAGTTTGAGAACAGTAATGTGGGAATATTTGGAGTCGGCAAGATTTCACATGTTGCACAGATTGGTGTATCCGTGGAACCACTGCCAATACTTGAGCAGCAAGCGGCTAATCTTGCTGTAACTACTACAAATTCCTTTGTGGATTTTGTGCAAAAAATGTTAAACAGTTTTGTAAACTATGTGACAAGTTTTACAGTGACTCAAGCACAAATGACACCAAATCCTACCGAGACATTTGTGCCTCTATCCACATTGCAAAGCTGGTATGAGACTTTTGAAAGGCGGTTACAACAGAATCCAAATTTTTGGAGGTCGTGATTATATCGGATTTCGATCAAGCTTTTCTCACTATACAAATATTCTGCAGCGATAGTCAAGCATATTTTTTGTGCTACGTTGCTGTGAAACAGATCATCAAACTCCATTATTAGAAAATGCTACTTTTTTTAAGTTTACGTAAAAAATTTCAATATATTCACAAGTGACTTTAGAGTGGCATTAATATATATAAGTGCATACATGTATTGTTGTATAATATTATTTTACTTGATAATTTTGAAGTACACAAATTGATTGCGAATAGTGAGGCAAAAGGAAAGTATGAGCGCGACTAATAGCGCACAGGAATGCTGTACTTCAGAAGTGCGTTGACATCATGAAATGCCGTCAACTGTCTGAGAAAAGCTATTATAATGATGTGTATTGTTTTTTAAGTAACAATATAAAATAATTTACAAAATTAAAATTTTCGAAATTCAATTTGAAAAACCTTCCTCTATCTCCTCAAAGAATTTTATGATTTTTTGTTAGAAGCATCCTGCAGTTTGGAAATAATTTCAACATGTGAATCATAATAATAGCTCTCTTGTAACATAAAAATTGACGACGTGATAAATTTCGGAAAACTGACTTTTCCCTTTAAATTGATATTTTGCACATCGCGATGCAACGGAATACAAGTAAATTATAATAAGTAAACAACTATCACATATTTTAAACAAATCATATTTTAAACATAACCGGTGCTTTATAAAACAGCAGAGTTCTAATACAAAAGAAATGCAACACGTCGACCATAAATTTTGTGTTGGAACTCTGTTTCTAACACAAAAGAAATGCTCCGTAACATAAGCGGTCATATTTTAAACATAAGTTATGTTGAAAATATAATAAATCATGATTTGACAGGTATATATAAGTAAAAGCTGCGTGAAAAAGACTAAAGAAACAATATAAAGAGAGAACAAAAGCATTTCTTTTGTATTGGAACCATGCTGTTTTAGAAAGCACCGTGAATGATTGATTTCTACGAAAATCTCAAAAAAAACTGTTTGTTCTCTCTTTATATTGTCTCTTTCAAGTCTTTTTCACGCAATGATTTATCTTTTATTTATATACCTGTCAAATCATTATTTATTATATGTATATTATATAAGTTGCTCTTAGATTTGAAAAATTTCGGATAAAATCTAAACAGGAAGAGGGATGTTTGTGCTAAAATAAACATGTTGAATAAAAGTTTCGTGTTAGTAGTAATGTTTTTGAGAAAATCGATTTTTAAAAATGAAAAATTTATATCACGTAGATAATTTGCTTTTTGTTTTATTTCACATTTAATAATCTCGTATCGTACGTCATCAAATGTATTTCGATACTAAATGTTAATAAATTTAAAAGAGGTGCACTCTCGTCTATTTGATAAAGCAAGTGAAAATTATAAAATAATTATTAATAAAAATGTGTATGTACATCATAAAAGTTTTGTAAGTTTTGTTAAATGAATTTATTTTTTCTTTCTTAAACTAATATATTAATATAATTATTATCGAAGTACATAATGTATTATTGAGTTATTCAGAATCAGTACCTTTTATTCAGTGCGCAAACTTCTTCATGTAGTAAATCGACATTGCGTATGCTGAATCAATGGACACGGTGTTTTAAAAAAGCGATTTCAGCATAAGAAGCTGCCAAAACGAAAGATCTGCGACGAAAGTTGTCGCTATAAAACTCATAAAAAAGTCACACGAGTATTGTAACTTGTTTGATAGAATTGACATATAATAAATGTCTAGTTACGTTTTTAAGCGCTATTGTATATTTTCGCGGACGCGTGAGAAGAAGAGAATGTCCGAGTGAAACAATAAATTGCTTTTCTATATCTTCGCGACTCCATTTTTGCGAGCTAATTCTATTCTTTATCAACACCGTGCGATTATCGCTTGTGAATGCACAATATTCTAATGCTCGCACGTGTTTTATCATTAATCTGACGATTATTCAATATTTAACTTAATCGCTGTGTAGTTTTCTGTCTCTGTGGATACACACAATTTTTTTGTACGTGACTATGGCGATTTGACGCAGAAGATCGAGATGGCTGTCGTACACTCCGTGCATTTCTTATGTAATTACACATACCTAGTAATTTTTCTGTGTTTATTATATATGTATTATATATGTATATAGTAATAGATTAAGAATTTATTACATTTTTTCACTTATTTAACCTATTCAAACTATATTTACTTTTGTAAGCTCGAAAAAAAGGAAACTTCCGTTTCCACATTTTTCTGACTTCTAATTTTTCACATTCTTTTCTTCCCGTCCTTTCCTCTCTCTTATTCATTTTCTCTGTTTTCTTTCATTTTTTTCTTCTTATTCTTTTCTTTATATTCCTTCTTTTGACTACTTTTTATCCTGCATCTCCTTTCTTATCCGAAATCTTATGTAACCTACATTCTTTCCTATTCTTTTTTCATTTTTACCTGAGGAATGGCCATTAAATTGACACTATAGATGATATATTGAAACGAAATATGTAACGAGAGACCATTTAATGTTTCAGTTTCTGCAGAATGTCTCGGATTTTTGTTCCGTGCAAAATTAAAAATGAAAGTGATTTGAATATATATATATATATATATATATATATATATTGTTTTTCTCATTATTATATAATATATAACTAATGTGTGGTTGTACCTGTAATATTTCGTCTATCTCTTCAATATTGACCAATTTTTATAATTGCTTTAAATTTTTAGAATACATTAAAAGAAACATACAACGTATTCATATATCCAGTAAACAACGTAAGTAACATTTATATAAATATTATATTTTGCCACTCAATAATGTAACTGCAATGTAATGTATGTTGTAAACAACAGTCGCAATGCTGAATCAAAAATTATAACATTGATGTATTATTGCTGTTACTTAAACGTTTACTGAGTAATTGCTTTGATGTAATTTATAGTTTAAATAATTTTACTGTAAATTTTTGTTACCATAACTTTGAACATACAGGTACAGGGAAAATTTTCACATCGTGTTTATCGTCTTCAGCACGTGGTCTCCTCTTACATCATCACTTGGTTATCATACTGTAGCTTCAAATGCATGCATTTAAAATACATTTAAATAAAAAAAGCAATAACGCGAAAAAAATAAATGAAGGTGAGACTTATCGACTAATTAGCAGCTATCTTAATCGCTTTTTAATTGCGCGCTCGTGGAGATGATATATAATCCTTAGGGTTACAAAGAGTTTTTCCACTTCTTCTCCATTTTGTAACACAAGTTACCATCTGTGTGGGATTGGCCAACTCCCTACTCCATATCTCTTTTTCGTTATCATTCCATTCGACAATTTTCATCTCGGAGACGCGCTCTTACGTCATTGGTTGTACTCCAAACCTCGCGCACGTGCAAACCATTCCTGCGAATCACGCAAGCGCGAGGATGGCAAACCCTCAGTAAAAAGCTGCCTTTAACTTGAGCCGCATCAGTATTCAGTGATTCAACTGGATTCGAGACGGCGACTAGTTAACTAGTCAGTTCAGTCAGTTTAAGTTCCAACTTTCACGTCGATGTAGCTCGGTAGTAAGAGACTCTCGGAGGCTTTAAAATAGTATTTGCGAGTGGTTGTGCGAGGTCTGCTGCGTGTCATCGATAGGCAGCGGCATACGTGCTGATTACGTACCGACAAAATCGTTCGTGAGAGAGTCGCCTGCGAGTCGTGAGAATTTTGTGCGCGATCGCTACGTAAGGGACTACGTGTGGGACGACACGGGTGTTGCACACTCCCATGAGCGTTAACCGTCGTAATGAGAAGTGATCGTCGTCGTCGCCGACGTCGCCGCTACCACGGAGTACTCACCGTTCTCTGACCTACGGTTGCCGCAAAGTTATCCTTTACGACAGACATTCTGTGTCGGGACTGTGTTGCACTGTCGTGAGGACGATGCCCCGCGTCGTCCAGCAGCAGCGTCGTTAGACTCGTTAGTGTGGTAGTTTCAGTGCGTCACGTTTCAACCGTCAGCACCACGCGACAAAATCTCGTAGCGCTTGACATATAGATTTTGTGTGTGAAGACTGTAGTAAAGCGAGAGAGAGACAGAGAGAGAAGTGAAGAGAGAGAGAGAGGGCGAGAGATCAAAAGACAGAAGGAGCGAAGAAGACCGCATCGAAGACGGACGAAGACGTGCCAGAAGACGTCCATCGCGTGAGACAACTCGCCAATCTTAAAAAGTAAGTAGCAAATCCACCTCTCTGCGTTCCCGCGTGACATTGTGTGCAATTACACGCTTTCTTTCGCGGCAAAGAGAGAGAGACAAAAAGACAGAGACAGAACAAGCGCGAGTAATTTAAAGCGTCGCCGTGTGCGACGCGCGTCTCAAGGTTGACACATGTCGCCGAGCTCTCTCGGCCGTTTGATACTAAGAGCGAAAGGCCGAGTCGCGAGCCTGTACATATATATTGCGGTATAGATAACGCGGAATAGAATGAAGCGGAACGAAATCAAATGAGACAGACAGGTACGGGAAACTCTCTCGTCGCGTTGCACCGCGGCGACCAATAATTTCACGTCGCAAACTGCGATTCAACACGGGGAGACGCAATAATACGCTCGTTCGCCTTAGCTGCACACTATATATATATACGTACACAACATATATATGTGGCATTCGTAGTTTTTCGCAATAAACATGCATTCAGATGCTGCGCTAGAAAAAAAGACGATACGTAGAGCGAAAAAAACATTAAAAAAAAAAAACCAAAGTAGAATCGATAAAGGGGTAACGATGCCATCGCGTCCGAATTGTGTATTTGCTTTTTCGTGCTGTACAATTATTTTGTGTATCGAAACATATATAAACGAACTGCATTTTCGAACCTTTTTTCTCTCTCGAGAGAGAGAGAACGGAAAGTGCAACATAGTGCAGTTAAGAGAGACAGACAACTCGGGATCCTCGAATGCGCCTGTTGTATGTGCAGAAACCGTGTGCACGACGACCGAGACAGAGGAATTAATTAATCCTCGGTCGCTGGCGTGTGTCCCTTTCCATGTCGCGCGGTCCCACCTATCTAGACAGAAAAAAAAAGTCGGTCGACCGGAATTGGCGGTAATCGACGTCGTCGGTGTCCGGAGCGGGCCCATCGCTCTGCTCCGCACATATGCATCGGCAAGGAGAACGGCTCTGCTTTCTCTGCGCTGCACGATGACATTGCGATTAAATCGCATGTGCATGAGAACGCGAACTTTTTCTGATAGCTAGCAATCTATTTTTTATTTTTTTTTTTTTTCGTATAGGAAAAGAAAGAATGGCGGTCTTTGATAGTGCGGCGTATTTTATTAGGAAAATTAAATTACGTCGATATATGGATTTCGTGTATATAATTTCTAACAGAAACGAGAAAGTATTTTCAAAAGCAGTCGATGTTTTGTTTTCATTCAAATTGGATTTTAATTGTTACAAGACAATATGATATGATAAGGATTGCTGAAAGGGTAAAGTGTTTATATGTTTATCACAATTTGCTGATGTATTGCAGGAGGCAGGACATTTTAATCACTTGGGGAACAACAAATAGCAGTTGATAAAAGTCTCCTGTCAAGTAAGTAAGTCTTTTCGTATTGAGTTGATACAGAGATAATTAGCACACAATGATGAAGATAAGATAATGTTATTGTTGCCTTATCCTCATGTTTTGAATTCTTCGAGATTTCACATTCAAAATATATATATACATGTATGTATATGACTTGTGTGTACATGTCAATGTCAAAGTGTAAATTCTCAATTGCAGAGCGCAGAAATGGAGAGTTCTGACGAGCCGACTAGTTTGCAGTCCATATGTCATCTGCACGCCTCAGAATTGTTTCCCAAGCACACGCATTTCGAATGCGAAGACGAATCACTGACGATTCCGTTCACACCGTTGAGTGGAGAATCTGTCGTGGCATTGGGACGAACGACAGATGGTGTACTGGCGCTCTCGAATTATAGACTTTACTTGCAATTAAGCAAAACATGTTACAATATACCTCTGGGTCTTATAGAGCAGTTAGAGGTCAAAGAGATTTTTTATTTGCACATTGGATGTAAAGACGCGCGTTCTCTAAGGTAGTTTTCTTTTTTTTTTTCAAAATTCACATTTACTCTGTCTGCGCTGAAACAGTCAACAAATAGTTAATCAAGCTTCAATATATGAACGTATGTTTCATTATTTCAGTTGTGCATTTACCACAAATGAACACTGTTTGGGGTGGTTCAAGCGATTACACAAACTGACCTATCCACGGAAAAACATAGAAGATATATTTGCGTTTGCGTATTATGCATGGTCCGTAGAAGAGGGTAAAGATTATCCTAGGCTTGGAAAAGATATCGGCTCGTATAATGCGACTTTTAATTCAGAGGTACGTATAACTTGCAAATTTTTGTCATAATGGAAATTACGCAGATGATTTTATTTTTTCTTTCACAATACATCTGACATTGTTGTACTTATATTAAGGTGGAGCGATTGAAATTCAATTTACACGGCACATGGCGTATAAGTCAAATAAACAAAGATTACCGGATGTGTCCATCTTATCCACCACAGCTCTTGGTTCCTGCTTGCATTTCCGATGAAACTCTTGAATTTGTTGCCAAATTCAGAAGTTCTAGACGTATCCCAGCTATTGTGTGGAGGTATAAATTTTTCTTTTCTGTTATATTGAATAAAATTTAATATTTAAGAATTAATTAGAAAATCGAATAATGTATAAATTTCTCTGTAATTTTAATCTTATTTTTCCACTACTATTCTAGGCATGTAAATAATGGCGCCGTGATAGCTCGTAGTAGTCAGCCGGAAGTGGGATGGCTCGGTTGGAGAAGTTCAGAGGATGAAGATCTGCTGAAGGCTCTCGCCGATGCGTGTAGCTACGATAAAGGTGAATCTACAATGGTAGATTCGCCTGTTACGTATTCCGACGCGGGTGACGATATTCAACCGAGTGTTTCCAAGGTAAATTTTCGTCAGACAGTTTATTGAAATTTGCTTTTCTCTTGTAAAGATGTTTTTATATGAAACACTTTTTGTTTCGGTTTTTTTACAGAAAGTTCTAATTGTCGATGCCAGATCTTACACAACCGCAGTGGCAAATCGGGCACGTGGCGGCGGTTGCGAGTGTCCCGAATATTATCCGAGTTGCGACATACAATTTATGAATTTGCCGAATATTCACTCGATACGGAAAAGTTTTCACGCTGTGCGACAGCTTTGCGCATCAGACGCGGATCAACCGAAGTCAGTAGTCAAATCCATACGTGCTCATTTATATTCTTCGTGAAATGAAATATCGTAAGTTACTTATTATTCTGATTTCTTTTGCAGTTGGTTAAGTTTACTGGAAGGAACGCGATGGTTGCAACATATGTCGGGATTATTACGGGCGGCAGTCACCGTGGCGTCCGCAATCGAAAGGGACGGTCGACCAGTATTAGTGCACTGCAGCGACGGTTGGGACAGAACGCCTCAAATCGTAGCACTGGCACAAATATTACTTGATCCGTACTATCGCACTATGGAGGTAAATATGCGTTTGAAAAGATTTAGTTTTTAGATAAATTAGTTATATTCATGCTTTATGTATTGTTTTGTTTTGTGTTTAGGGATTCCAAGTTTTGGTCGAGAGAGAATGGTTAGACTTCGGACATAAGTTCGCCGATCGATGCGGCCAAATGATCGGTTATGATGATCCCAATGAACGTTGTCCAGTATTTCTTCAATGGCTTGACTGTGTCCATCAATTAATTCTACAATTTCGATGTAGTTTTCAATTTTCATCAGCGTATCTTGTAAGTATATAAATAAATTATTGTGTATATAAACATGTCATCGAGAAATTATCTCTGAATGGCACTTCAAAAAAAAAAACGTGCGTAACACGTGTGTGTTTCAGGTAAAATTAGCTCAGCATACGTATTCGCAGTTATTCGGAACATTCCTATGTAATACGAGGCAAGAAAGGCTGCAGTTGAGGATACGCGAACGCACGTTTTCCGTTTGGCGTTTTCTCAACTCGACTGCGTTCGTAAATCATTTATATTCGCCGTTAAAGAATCAGGTAAGTCAAAGATCAAACAAGTCGATTGACTTATCGATTGGGCTGCACTTGATCTCAATGAATAAAAAAACACTAGAATATTTATATAATTTATATTTTCTCACAGATAAGAACTTTAATTATGTTAAGAAACACTTGAAAATTTCTTATCCGATAAAATATGGACGATTAGATACGTAGATTAGGGGTTAAATTTCCTTTAGTTAAAATAGTTCCATCATCTGATCTCTGATTTTATTCTTGCGTGTGTGTTTGAAAATTGGGGCGCTTTATTTATTTATTATTCTCAATCATAGTAAAATTAATCATTACAATGGGTTTTATTTGTCTCTTATGTTTTTAGGTATTATGGCCGAGTTGTAATGTGCGCGATCTTGTTCTGTGGTCCGAGGTATATTTAGGTTCCATGGAATCGTCTCTCGGTATGCGAGACGATAAACAGAGAATCGCGATGATAGACATCGAGGGCGGCGAGAGCGAGGAACCACAGGGCCAAATGACGAAAACGAGATCGTACGGTGACCTTATGCACGCGCCCGATCATGCGGCTCATTTGCACCGCAGACGTAGCGATCCGAGTATTTCAATGGAGAAGTAAGTAATCAACCGAGAAACGTCTATTGTATTGAGCTTTCGTTCAATGTGAAATTTACATTGTGTTTATTTATCTCGTAGAAAATTCGATTCTCTGACGCTTGAGACTGAAACGGATCAAAAAAGCGTGAAGAATGTTGACGATAACAAAAATCAAGCCGCGAATGAGACCTCACCAAAACCCGAAACCGAAAACAAACGATGTACGATAAATCAAACATCTAACGATTTGCCCGCCAATCCCTCAGTAGATAGTTCCACCGATACCTTGATACCCAATAATGATTCTGTTACAGCAGTTAAAGGAGAGAAAGAAATGTAAGTCTTTTTGCAATACACATAAACGTACACACATACGAAGCACAAATAAATTACAGGAAATTATTCAAAAAAAAAAGAAATAAATAAAAATAAATAAAACAAAAACAAAAATTAACTGATTGCAATTTATAGACTTCAGACAAATTCATCACGGGATATCGTGTCGCCATGGATCGAAACCGGCACTACCACTGGACGGACTGTTTGTTCATCGTGTAATCGCAATCACAACGAGGGTAGTGACGTGAGTGATACTAGCGCCCCATTGATATCAAGAACTCCTAGTAGCATATGCCCAGCTTCTCCAACCCATCAGGACGTTGTGTTAGATAATCCTGACTGGCTGGACGATGTTGATGGTCTTCCTGTCATATGTTGTGACGTCCAAATGCGAGTACAACAAATTATCGTAGAATATAAGGTACTTGAAGCAGCAGTTTACAGAGTTTTATCGTGACGCCGAATTTTGTCACAGAAGCGTCCAGCGATGTGTTACAGAAAGATTACATTGTTTTATTCTTTAGAATTCTTTAGCCATTCTGTAACGCTGTGATTGCATAACTTATAATTTATATTTTCAGCTCAAAGAGGAAGCTTTGAAGAAAGAATTACATACGACCAGACTAGCGCTGATAAAACAAGTTTGCAATCACAATGCGGATACGGAACGTATCGATGACATTGTGAGTAACAATGAAATGGAAAATTCATTTCAAGTGAATATCCCAATTAAATATCCAGTTTGGCAAATAGTAGCTCCTACGCTCCAGTTGATGAAAAATATAGCGAAACCTTTCACAGGGTTCATTGCCGGACTCCGTCGGGAGTACTGGAGAACACGGAGAATCATTGCCTTCAGATATGTCCTGGGAAGCAGTAGAAGAATTAGGTCCTGCTCCCACTCTTTGGGTACCCGATCATGCTGTGACTAGATGCATGGGGTGTAATACAGAGTTCTGGCTCGGTAGACGTAAGCATCATTGCAGGTATGCATTTTGCGAGTAGATGCTAGATTTGCTATCAGTAGGAAGACGCGCGTAACAATTAAAAACAAAATATTTTAAACATGGTTAATATCTTATTAGATGCTGCGGTAAGATTTTCTGCGCCGACTGTTCCGAGAACTCCACCCCCTTGCCTAGCGAACAACTCTACAATCCTGTGAGAGTGTGCAGCGACTGCTACGCGCGACTACATCATCATCAAACGACGTCCTGTCAGTGCAGCAACGTTCGCCATCAGAACACCAGAGCGGAGAACGAGACAGACTCTTCCGAAGTGGTGCCGCAAATGGTTACGTGTCAGAGGTTGAAAAAACTGCCGCCCACTACGACGAAGGATACCTGCTGCGACAATTTGCTGCAAGCGACGCATCAGAAAACGCAACCGTCCGTTGCTGCGGCCACGGCCAATTGAACAGGAGAGAAGAGTCCGTGAGAAAAATCTGAAGCGAAAAGGGAAAGCTGTGTACGTGTGGTGAAGAGGAGCGCGTGCGCGGTACACACACACACACAGTATGCTGGAGATTTGCCGATCAACATCACCCAACTTCGGACGGTGTACTCGTCACCGTTCTCGGATTTATACATAATTTGTATCAGACACAATACGCATACGGCATGCGAACTAACGCATCTAAGTTTTCCTAAGCGATAACATAATATTTATTGCTAGATTAATAATTTGTACGAACAAGTTGTAAGAGGCGAGTACGGAGATATAGAATGGCACGGAGTCAGTATACGAGTATATACCTTGTATATACCTTAAATGGAAGAAATTCTTGTTGTTCGCTCGGAAGATTGGTTTCATTTACCGTGTACCCATTCTCGGGTATCTCCGCGCTTGGCACCGAGCGGAAGACGAGTGGCAAATACTTTTGGATAGGCTGTGATCGATGTCTTTGTAGACAATTACATTACAGATCGAGAAGTGCTAATTAATTGTCAATTGATCACGATGAAAACGGATCGTTCGTTAATTAGCGACCGGGTTGAGTAAAAAAATAACGAACGAAATCGTATTTCTTATAATTGCTGCCGATGTACGAAAATTGGGATATTAAATGTCATTATCGCATCGCACGCGTCTCTGGTATCGATCGAATTCATATTCGCAATTCCCTACGTTTTACCCCACACATTAATCCCTTCTTATCATTAGACATATCTGTATGACGAATCATTTATTACTATTAGTCTGTTATAAATGTTATCTTTAATTAAGAAATTGGTTTAAACACAAATCATGTTATATACTTGTGTGATACGGTAAGCTCTATACTATGCCATAATGCTCATTCCCAGAATTGCAAACTCTGGCCGGCTGGCAGCGCGAACATCGAGGTGGTGGGGGCACGCATATCGTGGGTTCTCGCTCGAGTGCGTGTCCCCACCACCTCGGTGTTTTCGCTGCTAGCCTGCCAAAGTTTGCAACTCTGCTCATTCCAATGCCTGGAAAATAGCTGCGATTAGAAAAAAAAGAATGAATTGTTTATGTGCTATTTCTTTCTCCCTCTGAGTGAATTTAGATCATTCAACGAAGTCCACGTACATGTCTTCTAATTATTAGATAAAGAAATAATACTTTTTTTTATTTCATTCTTATTTTTTCTGGGGCCGTTTTCTCACATCACGTTTTTAATCGGAGTGAGCATTCCGGTACAGCATACAGTTCATTGGTGTGATATATTGATTATTAATTTTGTTCTATTTTTTTGGGGGGGTATCATGAAATCTGCATCTTTATGTGAACACAGAAACTCTGGACGTACGATTTTTTCTTAGAATTTTTTTTGAGGTCATGGATATCCTACAAATAAATGGACGACGTGTACTTTTAAAACAATTTTATTATATACGATGAAGAACATAAAAAAAATCGATGAAAAAAAAAACAATCAAGTTTCTTATGTTAATTTAAACCTAATTTTCCTGCCGTGAGATTGTGTAGCGTCGACGCATTCTTTAACATTTGGGTGGCGTTCTTTAGGATATTATCGAAACTGCCTTTAGTGTCATCGTCCTTTTGGAACTGTATCAGTATTACGAGATATGTTGTGACAGCGCCAGCGATCTAAAATTGAGTTTTTTTTTCTTTGAATTTGTTCGTTTTAACATGTGCAGGAAAGTTATGAAAATTTACTGAAGTCACGAGGGTGCGGTCCAGAGCGAAAAGTCCACAGGCTGAAAACTCTAAAGGCCGATGTAGAAGTTGAAGGGAAAAGATCTCTAATTGTTTTCTGCCTTCTCTGTCGCGATTTACAGACAACAATTGACTAACTAAAACTGCTGTTTTTTTTCCCTAAAAATGATATACATATATATACACATATATATATACACGCGATAAATCTAAAGCGTTAATATAAAACAGAAATCAAAATATATTATCTGCATGTTAATAGCTCTTTTCTCTTATTTAACTCTATACAAAAATATATTTTATTTATTTTTCTTTCAGAAAAATTTTTTTATCGAGATTACGGTTTTAAATCTTAGGTTTGATTTGTTTATTTATTAAAACTATTACCTGCGTTGTAGCAGAATATGTTGGCTGCACAACTATGAGCAGTCTCCAAATATGGAAAATACACCACAATCCTTGAACGAAAAGAAATAGCGGTTCGCGTCTTCCGTCAGCTTCCATTATTAAAAAGTACGGTGTAATTATCAAGTGTATCAGACAGGTGATCGTGATCACAAGTATAACAACGCCATAAGCGGAGTTGATGAGCGTTACGGTGTCGCACAGTGATCCGTGCACTACCACTAATTGGGATATATTATCTGTAAAACTTTTTCCATCTAAAAAACATTCACTGAGTTTTAATTAGAGACGTTATTTAATTAAATGTTATTTTATCAAGTTACATTTGTATCTGTAATAATAATTCGAAGAGAAACAAAAATTTATTTTTAGATATATAGTAGCATTGTAGTACCATTTGGGGCAGAAGAGTCCATGATTTTAGATTTCCGAAACATTCGAGTGTTATTTCCCATATCCTGCCGAACGAACGCCGTGAGTTGTCCTTGATCTCGAAGATCGCCGGCTATGAATTTATGTGACTTTTTTTAGAAGTTCATTCAGTTTGCATCGATTTTGAAGGTCTACAAAGTGGCGAAGGTATTTCGCTCACGGTGATAACCGTGAAAAAACAATACACACCTAATCCAAGATCCTTCCTGAAGTGATCTGTAATTTTACTGCTTTTAAGAATGTTCTCGAGACATTTGTTGAGTCTGCAGAACCTCTGTCCCACGTTGTGAGTAATGATGGCGTATTGCACCTCCATCATGACGATTATCAGATACATGAAGTACAAGGGTAGGTAATTCAACGGACCTTTGTTATCTGGTTTTTTCGACAGCTTCACCTCAAAGTTCCACGTGTGAACGTCGAGGCATGAAATAATAATGGAATAGGAAAGTGTGCACAACGTCAGAAGGATTGTGTACCGTCTGAGTTTCCTCGGCGAGACAATTCCCAATTTTTCATCGCACTACGTACGGACAAGAATCAAAATAAATTTTATATACATGCGGTCTCGGGCACAAGCGCATAGATTGATTATACAAAAACTTAGAGAGTCTTACTTCGACCAATTTCTCAAAAACGGTTTGCACATTCTTGTAGCGCAAAATCGAGCCGATGATGGAAACGGCTGTTAGACTCATCACACCCAACACGTCGCTGGTGGTGACGATCACCGCGTTCTGCGACTTGAGTCTGGTGCTGTGCTCCCATCCGTTTCTCAAATCGCGCCAGAATCCCCAAATTCCAGCTCCGATCACACATATCAGCAAACATATACTGAATCAAATTATTTCGAACATTTTATATATTTTTATTTTAAAAATTAAAAATATCGAGTATATTTCTCTCTTAAGAAATTAAACGCATAAAAAATCGTTTATTTCAAGATTGGTTTTTTTTTTTTTTTTTAAGTGAAATTTGTGATTTTTAAACGTGATTTGATTTTCTATTTTTTTCACCTGTAAACGCTATCGATGATGCTCAACTGGCCTTGATATCTGCCAGACGCCTGTTTGACAAATCTCGTTGGAAATACACCGATCAGTTTGCTGACATGATAGATTGGGAACACCGCTTGATATAAATCGGTGTTTACCGACTTGTTACTCGCCCCGTCAGAATTTACGTCGTGTTCATCCACGTTTGAAAGCTTGTCTACACAACGGATTATTATACTATCGATTTAAATCGTCTCCGAACACAGTGTACGAACGAAGCAAAGATAGTGAGTTCTTTACACAACGCTAAAAAAAAATTTCTGCAAATCACTCGAGTATTACATTTTTAATCGTACATAGCATCTCTGTCAGCTTTTTTTTTACATTTCTACTTTTCTTATATTATTGATTATTACACTTTTTAAATATAATTATTAATCAACATACTCTCTTTTCGCGAGGATTTTAAATGATTTTTGCGTAAAGAGATTGTTACCTATAATGTTATGTATATACGTTTAACAGAAAGAGATTCAAATATTTAATTATATTTCTATTTTTTGTAATTAATATATTTCTTAACAATTTTTTCTCTCCCCATATTTTTTGTAGATATTAAAAAGTTTACTTTATAAATTTAAGATAATTTTGGCAAATTAAAAAAAAAACGTGAATAGAAAATGTGACATATACTCATTATCTTACTGTTTGTCCTACTCGGTGTGTGTTGTTTCTCAAAATCGTTCCATCGTACGTGCATTTTTTTAGGCATGGAGGCGGCTTCGTTGGTAATATTCACAGGTGCGACCACAAAGTAATTCGCGAACTGCATCGAATGGACTCCTAATTACAGAGTAACGGGATTTATAACTTGCACGAGCAATATTTTAATATTAAATTGATACGTACGATATATATATATACACACACACATATATATATATATGTACGTTGTAAAGTTTTTTGAATGAGTTTCGCTTCTCTTTTTTGTAAAAAAATATAAATTTTTTTAACAAAGAGTGTCAACTTTTCTTAAGATAACATTTAAGATATAGCATTTCGTGCGTCGCATTCTTTATAAAAACCGAAACTTCAGAGATAAAATAAAACACTAATAATAAAAAAAAAAATACAATAGACACATCCTGATCGAAAGAGTACGCAGATTTTTTACCTTTTCATATTCGACCGAACGAAATGTGTTGCGAGAGAGCAAAGATTACGAGAAAATCCTTCGCAAGGACATCGTCGCTTCTTCGCACGTAATCGATGTTTTACGCGGGACCGTCACTATGTAAATAAACTTTACGTTACGAGGATTACACGGTAGATTCACATTGCACATCGGAGCGAATAACGAACGGGGAGCGTTGACGATGCGAGTGCATCTGCAGACTTTCGCACTTGCGTCCGTTCATTCGTACTCGTCAGATCGTCGACAGATAATTGTTGTTGACGATCGTAGCTCTCTAGGTATGTCGATGCTTATCCCTTGAAAACACATATTTATCTACCCACTCGAACACGCGCGACGACGTTTCCGAGGATTGCGCACATAAAAGCGCGTTCCTTATAGTGTCGGGATTGGGTGAGAACCTCGAGCCTTCTGATAGATCGATGGTCACATTTTCGCGCAAGAACTTCGTACTACTTCTTCGGGAAAACAATTCCCTCGACAGTTCGCGTGCAATCAAATCGGTAAGTATGTGCGATATAATGATTAATGCGATCTCAGCGCATACTTTTGTTATCTCTTTTTTTGCGTGCAACGTATTATTAGAGAAATAATGGATGGGAAAATAAACAAATGAAAAACGAGCAAAAGCTCATATGTAAGCGCAATGTAATTATCGCGCGCAAACGTAATTATGTACGTGAAAATATTTACGTAGGTATATTATGACGTACATATATTTATGCGTTTCGTCTACTTATTTGCAACAGTTTTGATTAACATATAAAAATTTATCACGTTGGCGTCAGAACGCAGCATTACACGTAAAAACAGATATACATATGTATATATGGTACACATGCAGTTTTGCGTGTACGTATAATTCTATGTATTTACATAGTCATAAGCTCATTAATATGAGTAATGGGCATTTTGAATACATTTATAAATATAGTCAATGTTAAATATAAACACTCCTCGCTTTATCGACACTACGAGTAATGACCGCACGACTTTTTTTGCGCCAATATAATTGTATATGCATCTATAATCACGGTCAGTCTGCATCTATTGTTGATCATCCCAAGTTTAAAAACGTAAACACCAACAATTTTCGATCGCGTATAATATTTATAGCGGGTTTTTGAAATGTATTTTCTTTTTGTGCTGATCCAATCCAAAAGGAAGATAATACATAAATTGACGTATCAAATTTGCGTGTCCGCTTTATTTTTTACGAGATAAAAATAATAAAGAAAATATTTTTAAAAGATAGGCTTTGATTCATTCGATGCAAAATGTTTGCAACGTGATATTAAAATAGAGTTTTGTTACCGTTTTGGCGTTAATCTTCTTACGTATCTGTTTCTCTTACAATGGATTTCTCGGACAACACGCGTGAGACTCAGGACTAGCTTTGTCGTCGTCAGTATAACAAAAAGAACTACTCGCGAAAAAAAAACTGTACCTTTGTGTAAACATTGTAACTTCGATTATTTCTATATTTTCCGCACATCCGATCAAGCGTCGCGATAAGTGTTTGATAATTACGCGGAGATGTGCGTGAATGCGAAGGACTATTTTTTTTTTTTTTGTTCGGTGTTCAACCGCGACCTAGTAAATAAGAAATAATTCGTGCGAGCCTCGTTTCGCGTGTTCACGCGAAACTAAATGTATATCTCTGCAACTTTTCGTAATTATATGTAATGCACACATTGGCCAATGAGTCGCAATCAATTATTTAGTTAATTAGATATTTAATTACAAGTAACTCTGTGAATTATTTCGTTTCTGATAAAATTACCGCGCATCGATTTTACAATGTATCTTTACTTATTCGATCTTGTAATTAATTAAATGAATTTTAATAGTTTGAATACACATTTGTGTTCGATTCTCGAAATCCATTCAAAAAAGACATATAAAATTTATACCTCATCTATTTTTCTATTTTTTATACGTGTATATGTGTGTCGTGCGAAGATACAATTTACGATTAATTTTGTATAAAAATAAAACCTCGCATCGAGAATTCCATTGTTTACGTCAACAAGTGTGTAGATAGAGTATAAGTATATAGTAAAAATATATAGCATGTGTCACAAACATATATATGTCTGCATAGAGCATACGTCAAGAGTTCTAGAGAGACTCAAATTGATCGTAAAGAAAATTGCTCTGTTTGTTATTGCTGGCAATGAATAATGCTTAGCGATATATTTGATGTCATGCTGATTTATACAACTGTTTCTCGAAGAGAAAAAATAATGAGAAGTTCCACAGCTTCGACTTCTGTGACCGTCAGAATGTTGTTTTTTCACAATGATATCTTCAAAACCAAAAAACGTCTCATGAGTCAACGCGCGTAATTTTTGTTATCATTATATAATCTCATTCTTTTAACCGTTTACGTATATATTAATACTATATAGAATTAAAAGGACGTTGAGGATGCAAATTTGCATAGTTGACCGTTTAATCCGTAAAAAATGAAAAGATTTTATAAAATGGTGAAGAATGTCAGATTTTTTTGTAGCGAAAACTTTAGAAAAAGATAAATTATTAACAAAACGGAAAAAATAGAAATTACATTATGGTAAATGTATTATGTCGTGCTATTTTGTTCAAAAAATGAAATTAAAAAATTGCAAATAATTGCAGTAATTGTTAATAGTTTTTTATCGAGTTTTTAATCGCGCGGAGTTCCATGCAAATCGAATGCATCATCGAACCTGGCGCGTCATCTAGCAGTCAACAAGAGAAAAATGAGAGCGGCAATTTTAGTATCGAATGTTGTCTTTGAAGTCGCTTAGTCTGTATTTTGCGTTCTCTGTTACTAGGTGGCGTGTGGTATACACTGTGTTAGCTGCTGTGCAACTATGTGCAACTATGAGTGTGTACAAACTAGAGCGTAAAGAAAGAAAATGCGCTTTATATTTTTATATATACGTATAAATAGACTATAAAGATGCTGTTTTCTCTTGTCATTAATGATATTACACGTTACCGTAACTAATAAGAATTATAACAAAATAAATGTATATATAGAATAATCTGACATAACCAAATACATAAGTTAAACCATGTTTTTTAATTGTCAATGGATTTCTTTTCACATTTGTTGCAATTGTAAACGTTTATGAAGAGTGCAATTATTGTATAAAAACTTGTGTGAAGTGCGGAGGAAGCATTGGTTTTGCACTTTTATTTAAGTTGGAAAGTGTTGATTATACATAGAGATGACCACAATTGTGTTTTACCGCACTTCTTGAGAGCAGTTTAATACATAGACAGTTAAACTATTTGATAGAAATGGAACAAAATGAGGAAGACTGGTGTGTGGAGTGTTCTGATGAAGAAAAGTATGAGGTAGATGCAAATGTGAGTCAATTGAGTTTACTCCAATATAATTTCTAATATTTGATTACATTGTATTTCTGCATTTTTCTAATATTCTCATTATGAAATGTGTGTTAATTTTGACCGAATATCTTCTTTGCAGCATGAATGGAATATAAAACCTGAAGACATAGTCTCACTGATTGAAGGTTTGGAAGCAAATAATCGTGTTCTAGAGCTTGAATGGAAGTGTCCTGGCAGACGGGGACCTTCTCCCATCCCTTCAAATAATAGACAACAAGAGCATGGGTCTCAAGAATACAAGTGATTTTCTACTGATATAATTGTTTCAATAAAATTGTTTAAATGTGTATTTGTATATGTACAAAATAACAATCACTTTTACAGAACTGAAGAAAAGTCTGACTTTGACTTTATGGATGAGATGTCATCACCAAGACTGCCTGTTCGGAGAGTTGGCGAGAGCACTCTAAAAGGTAGCGCCAAGAAGAAAACTGCCAGTTTCAATGGAGTATTATCGACAATGTTGAGATATCGTAGACTGGAGCAACAAGAAATAAATTCCAGTCCAAAAAACAATGAATCTGCTGGATTAAAGACGCAGCCTTCTTCTTAAAACGTATTTATAAAACTTGTTACTTTTGAAATACTTTGGTTATTAAAACTCAACACTATGAACAAAATTGAGATGCGATGTAAAACTATTGTACAGAAAACTATTGCTCCTAGTTGTATGATAAAAATATCTTTATTAAAAGAGAAAATTTATACGCCTATTTAAGAACGAAGAAAGTAAAACTTTGAGGATGTATCCTTTATTTATTCTTTATAAGGATACAATGATAAATATAATTATTACAACAGTTTTTATTTGAACTTGTTTTATTTCCAATTGTCTCACAAAACACAACATGTTTTAATATTCAGTTTTATATTACTATATTTTATATGTTATTAAGTTGTAGAAGAAATGTAAATCTGGTTTTTGTCTATCTTTTCTCCTCTTTCACGTAAAAAACACCAAGAGGCTCGAAACTGTTCGCTCTTTTACGAATATAATTTATCTTCTTCAATTAATTAACACTCATCTGTGTCGTTCCCTGCTATCATATGCGCAGCCCATTCAGGAAATCCCTTGTCAATCTCGAAAATGTAAGCACCCCATGTCGGGAACAGAATAACTTGCACTAACACAGAATAAATCGCGGGCACACAGCCTCCAGCCATGAGTCCCTTGGTTGGAATGTGTCCCTGAACAGTTACGATGGCGTTTGGTGGCGTTCCGACCGGAAGTCGAAACGAGAACGAAGCACACAATGTGGCCGGTACCATTAGATACAGAGGATGTATCTCCATTGCTATGCACTAACGGACATTTGTGTGCATATGTTTTATTTTGTTTTAAGAGAATATATTATAGATATAGAAAAAAATGTAGTCTTACCATTTGAGCTATAATCGGTAAAGTAATATTTGCGATGCCTACATTTGAAGTGAATTCCGTTATGGTACTGATAAAGTAACCGACCAAAGTGAGTATCAGTACAGGTGGCAAATGACGTAGCGGTAGCATAGCCATGCCGACTCGCTTCGCCATACAAGATTCGATGCTACCTTTCGCGATCGCAAAACCACCGCCCAGCAAGAACATCAGACTCCATGGCATTTTGGTCTCAATTTTTTTCCACGTTATCAAACCTTCCTGCGATTTCTTTGGTCTTTGTGCGGCTGTGAAATTTGTGATCTTTTCAATAAAGAATTTTATAATCTCTAAATACATTTCTCTAAAAAAAAAAAAAAAAACAATTTTGGGACAGAAGAACAAATATATATGATTCGGTAAAAGTTTTCGAATTATAATTATATCCTGCACATAATTGTCCTCTGCGCGATCTTATCTGATTATGAGTTCACTGACTACGAGTTCATGCGCCCTCGAGCTTTAGTCTACGAGACTCGATTTTTTTTTTCTCATCTAATCTTGTCGTGGTTGTTCGACACAGAGAGAGAGAGAGACCGTTTTGTCTCGCTCGCTCTCAGCGGCTTTTCTCGTCGTTCTCTGCGCAGCACAATCGCCTCGGGCTGCGCGGAGAAACAAACAAGACAGCGAGAGTTTCCCGAGATTACTGACAACTGCGTGGAACATTACTGGAATAGCGTAATTTGGAAACTGATATATCTCGATTTATCCAACAACTTCTTACGATCTCGGCTGCAACTGCGAAAGAAGCTGAGATCCTTCGGGATGAAAAACATTAGGATAGCGGCAAAGATCACCGGCACCGAGTCCCTCAGATCTCTAGACACAAGTTTATTATTTTCTCGCGGTAAGTTGAAACATTTTCACCTCTCGCTCAAATAAATCAGAATACCAACGTGTCTGTAATCACTTCCGCCCAACCGGTGACGAATCCGGGTTTTCGGAATATCCAGAGAAACACGCACATGAAGAATAGCACAGCCACTCCGGTCTCGTGAAAACTTATCGGTCCCAACTCTCTGTATCTCTCTAGTATCACCTAGAAATTTCATTGCTTCTCAGAAGGAAGAATCAAAGTAACTGTACGCGGAAAATTGATGAATAAATTGCGTAATACTAATCATTGATTTATATATTACATACTTGATTCGTAACGGCTTCGCCCTCGGGTCCGATCGTAGCTAATTGAGCGTCCTTGCTGCGCGGTCTGAAGAATCCGAAATAAGCAACTTGTAGATAGAGCCAGCAGAGAAAGGAATTGATGACCATCTGAGGAAACGACGCGATCAACCAAGTGGTGAATATAATTCCGTCGGATTCGGGAAACGTGGTCTCGAAGATGCCTTTAAGAGTCAAATTTGTGCCGGTCCCCACTAACGTGCCCGTTCCACCGAACGTTGAGCAATAAGCCGCCGCCAAAAAGTACGCTTTTGTTATTCTCGTTGGTTTTATCTCGCTAAGGAGAACGTAATATGTGACACGACACGAATTATGCAAAGTTTGTGTGTTGTTGGACGGAGAAGCTACGCCACTTTACTTACGCTACGACATCCGGTTTTTCTGGATCCACCTCCGTATCAAATACCGCACCCAATCCGGCCTGTAATGTTGTACATATATTAAATAAAGAAATAAATACACATGTCAAATACGATTAAATATCAAAAAACCTGCAATCTATTAGTTACCATTACTATTAATTAATTAGTATTTATATTAATTAGTATTTATTAACCGTTTCCAATTGGCGTAGTACAGCAAAAATGATGGGCACCATCATGGCGGTGGCCGCTGTGTTTGCCACCCACATGGATATAAAAGTTGTAACCGCGCAAAGACCGCCAAGCAATTTGGCATGGCTCGCACCAACTGCCCTCAAAACCCCGAGAGCGATCCTCATGTGTAAATTGCTGTGCTCGATAGCAATAGCGAGAATCAAACCACCGAGAAACACCATTATCGTGTCGTTCATGTAACAAATACATGTATCTCTCGTGCTAAGTACGCCCAGGGATGGGAACAACACAACCGGTATCAGTGCCGTTACCGCCATAGGGAAGCAATCAGTTATCCAGTAGCCCGCCATTATCAACACTACGAACGCGCATCTCATTTCCTGCAAAGAATCTCTCGTCGAATTACGCGTTGAATCATAAAAAATTAATTTTCACGACTGTGCCGAATTGGAATTTATATAATTTTAAACTAAAAAAATATATATATAATATATATATATATATAATACATATGTAACAAATTTAAAATTATTATGTACAGTAATTTTTTTCTTACTCTATTCCTAAAAATTTATTAATTTGCTAAGAGAAACTTAAAAGCAAAAAATTATAAAGTAAGAAATTGTAAGGAAAAGAGTACCTTACAGAGAGTCACAAAATTATAAAGTAAGAAATTGTGAGACAGAAAGAGAGTACCTTACAGTCATAAATGATGAGAAAAGGTAAAATGAACAAAGGCCAAATAAGCGCAAAAAGAATCTTCCAGTAGATTGCAATAAATCGTCCTGTCATCCGTAAATAGAAAGCGAAGTTTCCCAGTTGATCGGCTTGCCTTTTCATTTCAATTATAAACTTTATTAGATTTTTTCATTACACATGAACATGCATACACACACACACACGTATCCAAAACGGACAGTTGTAGTTTTCACAAAATTTTACGTAAAAGATAATATCGCAATATAGTTTACGATGATGATTGTGCACAATGAAGAAATTGAAAGAAATACACGTGTTTCATGTAAAATGTTATTGTAAATTAGAACCTCACCTTTGCTCGGGATTTCTTCTTTCCTCCTCCGCCATTATTTACGATTTTTAGACACTTTGTGTTATTTAATATGTTTATATTTCTCACACAAATCTAATAAAAGCAACGTCAATTATAATGGTGACAATTATAATCTGCACATTTGCACATCAAATATATCGAAATCTCGAAATTCGAGCGTAACTCTTTTGTTATGTGATCCTCCTCTCCTCCTATATAAAAAATCCATGTGTACCGCGAAGTGCGCGTTTTGATATCGAATGTATCGCATCTATTGTCGTCTCTTTTCCGCGTTGCCGATTAGTTGGTTGATCGAGTCGAGTTGAGTCAAATCGAATCGGTAAGATCGAGAGAGTAAATAATGACAGAAAAGCGATTTTGACAGTTCGTCGTATACGTGGAGAAAA